CGTGTGCACGAGTTCAAAAAAGAAGGGAGCAGAATCTAAGGTTGCAAGGCCTATTTGGATGCATTGTGTACACTTGGGAATGAATAACAAGGTATCGAGGCAGCATATTAAGGGAAGCACTGCCTTTATGGCCCATACTCAGAACACTGAAGCCAAACCTCATTCAGCAGCCTCATTATAAGAAGCGGCTCTAATACTCCTGTATCATCTGTCACACACAGAGAAACACATAAACGTGGCCTGGTGGGACTCTGTGGCACTTACCCATCCATGTGGATCTGCCAGTAAGCCTGCCGACTGATGTTAACGTAATTAAAGTCCCCAGTGTAGAATTTTGGGTCTGTGCCCCCCAGCAACAACTCGCCACCCGGCTGTGTGTCAGGGTTTCTGGCAGAGAAAAAAAATACCAACTCAGTTTTCAAGTAAGAGGCCATCCGTGATGAAGCGAAGGATATGAGCAACCACCATCATGAACTACACCTTATTAATCCACCTCACCTGTTCAAGTAGAAGGAGAAGACGTTCTTCTCCACCTTCTTCTGGCTCATGATGTTGTCAAAGACTGGGGTGACGCCATCCACAGAAATACGAGGGTAAGCCATGCCCAAGATCCCATCAAACTTTGCGGCAATGAAGGTAACCCCAGGCTGCTTGATGGCTTCCCCGAACAGCTGCTTTTCCACAGTCATGTTCCCGATCTAATGGGATGCAAGAAAACCAAGCCATCAAAACGCGCAGTGCCATGGTTGGCCACAAGGGGGTTTCTCATAGTCTCAACAGTCTTACCGTGCAAGTGTCCTGGCTAAGATAGCCAGAGAGACTACCAGACCCATACTGAATGGCAAAAGCAGTCCCATTCTTCACGTATGTACTTGATTTGGCAGAATTATATTTGTGGTGAAGCACTAGAATGAGAAAAGGTTGCTTACAATCACATGGATTTATATAGCAAGTAGTAAGGAGAGTTTGTTGTATTGTTTGGTGTGTACCCTTCTGTAGGAGCCACTTAGGTACAATCAGTAGTCCAGACAAATACATTTTGACTTACAGCAGGCGATGTCAGTGAGGGAGCAGTGAATTGAGGGTACCCAGAGGTTGGATGATCCAGTGTCAAATACCACTGTGAAGGGCTGAGGTGGGGTGCCCAAGCCAATTTCTCCATAGTACTGGGCCTACAGGAATACAGACCAGTCAGGAAACATACCAACAGTACAACACAGCAGCATTAAAATTCCATTAACGAACAGATACTAAGCCGATTCTTCATTCAAGTCCTATAAATTAACAGACTAAACGTGATGTAAAACAGCGCCATCGATGCTCTGCAACCAGCTCAGGAGATGAACTCCTCCTACTGAAGGTCTGCTTCAAAATAAGTTAAACATATAGGGGCTTCACTAACATGGGTATAAACCAGAAACAACTGGGCAAAAGTAACCATATCAAGATTCCTTTATTTCTTCATTAAAAAAAATGCTCAAGCATCATGCTCTGTCAGTCTGTTCATGCAATTGTCTGTAATGGGCAGAACTCTCAGTACTGCAGAAATCTTGACAGGTGATGTTAGTCATGTTACACAGCAAGCTAGATAAGGCCTCAATATGTTAACCTTCTCTGAGACAACTGTAATGGAACACTCTTAAAATAGGTCACTGGCACAGTGGCATGTGTTTTTTTTGCCTGTTGATTACCTATGTGAGTTATGGAAATACATTGTGGTTTTCGCATTATGGTTCTCTCTTGTTACGGTATGACTATTGATCACAAACCAACACTCCAAGGACAACCATGATAGAACTTTCAGTCAAAGTGAGGGAGCAATTTTAAATAGAAGACCCTCGCATTTCACAAGCTTCTTTGGGTGAGACAAAGATTTACTCATTTGGAGAACAAATCAAGTAAGATAACAGCACATTGTCCTTTATAGAGCCCTGAGACAGCCCCTTGGATGGTTTGGCGGTGCGAAGAGCAGCTCACCAACCAGGCACTTTATGAGTCATGTCACATGACAAACTTGTGCAGTGCCCCAAGAAGCAAAACATGCTCACCGACAGACAAATGACTCTCCACTGACTGAGTTCAGTGGTGCAAAATCAGGAAAGGATGAAACATTCTCTTGATAAATGGGGAGGGGGGGGGGGGGTTCTGGAGAATATTTAAAATCACCCAGTTTGAGGTATAACTGAGAAAGCAGAATTATCTAGATTCTGGAGCAACAGAAGTTATAGGCATTTCATTGCTCAAGAGCTCAAATTGTGAAATCATTCTTCTGACCATGAGATGCACACCTACTTGGCTAAATAGGACTCAAACTGGACAATAGACTAGAACTTGCAATCATCTGAACCACATCCAAGATCCTTAGGGAGATACTCACATCAAGGTAGTTTTTCAAGGTTTCTGGAGTGGGGTTCTTACTGGAGGGGAAGCCCAAGTTATAGCTGAACAGTGCTTGACCGGCTAGTAATTCCTCCACACTCCTCCCTGAATCAGACATAGAACGCCGGATGGAGCGGAACTTCGTTAATGGAATCCTGTAGGGGTTCACAATTTGTATAAACTAGCAGGCATTTACAGTCTGGCTTAAAAATCCACAAAGATATGACCATACATGAGTTTAGTGATAGGAAAACTGGTTATTGTGCAATGCGTGGTTAACCACTTCCTTAGTGAACCACGAGTCACGCTCCACTGAAGTGTTATCTCGGGTACCCTCCTATATGACAGCGATAACATCGCCACCCCCAGGCCCCATGGGGAAGAACACTACACAATTTTTTGCATTTCCGATGGTGCAATAACATGATTTAAGTTCCCACAGTTACATGCGTGCAAATACATAGGATGGGAAATGTATTTTAAAAAACACCGATTTCTCTCATTCTGCGTCACGTAGGCGTTTGGCCTGTCATGCAAGCTACTCCTAGGCAGATCGAATGAAGTGCATATCTCTCTCATAACAGGCAATGGCCAGACGGTTAATACGAATAAGCAAGGAAGGCTTCCAGGGCGATGCCTGCCTTCCAGAATGGGCCAATAAAATAACTGATCCGCTACTGTTCAAGCAACATTGTTTTACATAAACGAGAGCTTCATTTTCAGGAACCCTCAGCATGCTAAAAATAAAGAATAGTGCACCAGCTGCCCCGGTTTACTTGCTTATTATTTATTTTTTGCAGATAGACGCTACCGGTGCTAAACGCGCAGCCACCGAGGGTAGCATGTGACCCAACACAAACGTAACTTACGGAACGAAATGGAGCCTTTATGTGCGTCTATCCACTACAAAGCGTCTACATGGTGAATTTGAAGGGCAGAAATAAAATGATCCACAATAAACCAAATAAAGTCACCAATCCCACAGTTACATTATTTAAAAGACATTTACAGATGACGCGTATGTGTTACGTTTCAAACATACAAACATTTAAAAAAGTTGTACCAGACAATGCTTTAGTCAACCACTGTTTAAAACCCCAAGCTAAATACGTGCAAACTGACGCAACAAAATGAGTCCCATTCAACCACTTACCGGACGAGAGCATCGGAGGCGCAGGCAAGCGCAGCAAACAGATACACCACGAAAAATCTCATTTTCACCTCGTACAGTCAATGAGATCACAGAGTAGTATATGAACAAAACAATGACGGAGCAGATCGCTCTGACATTAATAAGCACCCCGCACTCGGGTCAGCTGACGGGTCACGTGACTCATGGAGACCAGCGCTCCCCCAAGGAATCCTGCTTTCGCACACCGACCAGCTACCTCTACTTTTGTAAGAGTAATACCGTCAATTAGACAGTTGCACAACCGAAATTTAAGCAAAAAAAGTACGTAAGTACGTATTTTGCACTGCTGTAATTTGTATATGTAAAAAACAAAGGATATAACATAAATGCGTTACTGTTGCGCACGGCAAACTTCTTATTTAAAATTGGGGAAGTACTACTCAGCGCTCAGCTGCTTGGTTAGATTTTGCAGTGTCAAAGCAAACTGTTTTGTAATGTAGGCACGCGGCATATCCTAACCCCGACCCAAACTCGGGGAAATCGCGTGATACGTCTAACGTACAAAAATGTGTATGGAAAACAAAAAATATATTTAATCCAAACAAATCAACTGCAGGTGCACCGATCCCGATACCTGAACGGAGGGTATCGGCCGATACGAGTACCGATCTGATACCAGATTCAAAAGAACTTCAATTAGACTACTATAGAAACATACATAACGTACTATTCCACCTCGCCTGTACATTTTGGTTTGAGTTTTTGAGGCATTTTCAGTTTGAGTATCGTCCAGTATTGCAGTATCTTCATACGCAAGTGGCGAATTCTTGAATGCCTCAATTTTTCTCCCACTGGCATCAGCGTCACTTACCCCTGGGACACTCTGGATGTGTGGTGTGTGCTGCATGGCTGAGTAAAGTACGGATTTTTATTTCAGCGCCCATATTACCTGTTTAAAGCGGCCACACTGCCTGCACGAGGCGCCCGGCTTACGCCTCATTTAGGAGTAAACCGATTTCCACTGAGCGCTACTTCTACCCCTCAAAACTTCGTTTTTAGAAAGAGTGAAAATCGATATGCTGCTAGTTATCGTTTCAAGCGTAAAATACTTCCAGATTGCAGCCATGTTTAATTTGCTTTGCAAGCACGCAAGTCGCATTTACTATCATCACCCTCTTATCTGATGTTCACCCTCCTACTGCAAAGGGTATGCGCATGACGTCACAGCAGGCGGAAGTCACCGCCCTCACACCCACCGAGTGGCAAACGCACCGAGTGGCAGCGTTAGTGTTCAGCTTAAATGCTACAGAAACACATCTAAAGTAGCCAAGACCTGTCGTGCAATTGATTGTACAAGTCGATCTAACAAAAAACAGGAGACATCTTTTTGCAGAATGCCGAAAACTAAATAAGTAAATATCGGACGTGGATCACATATGACTAAACACTCGATCCGTCTAATAGGTATGGATCAGTGTCCATATCGATGCGAATATCGGATCGCTGCACCTCTAAAATCAACATATAAATCCAACACACGGAATGCCAAATCCTAGAGGTGGGACTAGGCCGGGTGATATTTAGCATCCGTTACTGCCAGATTTGTTTATATAGTTTTGGACAAGACAGGCTGTCTGTAATCAGTTTCATCTTTCAATTAAGCCAAGTGAAGTTATGGTAGAACCCACTTTTAATGCAAGTGATATAAACAGTCCTGAATAAAAACATTTGAATTCTCTTGTCTTTTTACAGAGCCAATACTACTGAACATGCTATTATTGGAAGATGTTTGATAGAACTGCACAAAAAACAATATTTTAACATTACAAAATATTTTGACATTTATACAAAATAATTATATATTGCTATACAAATCAAGACAAAAATGGTGCTTAAAAATAAGACTGGTTATCATGACTGCTGAAATGTGTTTACAGTTCAAAGGGTGTGTAAGATCATAAGCCTAAAAAGTCAATACAAAAATACTGATGGTCAACAGTAACACGAGAAAATTATTAAGGTGTATGTGAAAAATCAGTCCTACTTTCAGGACAATGCAGCAACATCTCGCATGTGATAAAGGCCATCACCGCAGAGAACATGAGGCTGTATTTGGGCCAAGATGGCACTTGGCGGAGTTCCAGCCAAACAATAGGCCTCCTCAACCTCCATGCCCCAGTCACGGAAGGTCTTCAGGGCTCTCACACACACATCCCTGGGACTCCACAATGTTACCAGGCACGTGCGGAGTGGGCTGTCGTCTTGCCCAAACTTGCTTCTCATTTGTCCAATGACCGCCACAAGCTCTTTCAAGGAAGCCTAAAGCCCAGAAAACACAACACTTCATTTTCAAGCACATGTGAAAAAATAAACAATAAATGTAAAAACGCAACAGTAGATGAGTCATCCTCTACACAATGGGCTACCTGGGTAATCTGGAGGCTGTGAGGCTGGTTCACGTTGAACATTTCGCCTTTCAAATCCTCAGGAATGCCTAGACTATCCCCTATAAATAGGAACTTGAGCTGATCAACAGCTTCTTGGGCAACCTGCTTGCATAGCAGTGCAGCTGGGAGACCTGCACAAGAACAAAGCCAACATTTCAGGACAAATACTCAGTAGTAGAATTTTGCATGTAGCTTACTACTGTACCAAAGCAAGCCAGATGATGTATATTAAATTGGGGTTCAGGAGCAGCCCCACAATTGCCTTATTTCTGTAATTTCAATCCCCATATTCAACACTTCGTAACATTTCATCAGCGACATCGTTCAAGAAATATACCTCTTTCCTGGGTCTTGACAATATCATCTCTGTTTGTTGACAGGAAGAGTTTCACATTGTTAGACAGCATGCTGTTGGTGAAACTGGCATCATTGCAAAAGCAAAATCTGCTAATCTCAAGACCTGGGTGAAAAAGAAATGAATTTCAGGCAGTGTGTTCTCCGTTTCAGTAACTGTTCATGTGGATCACAGAAGAGCTTACCATAGTGCTTGGCACTGGTGACTATTTTTGATTGGTTTTCTGGAATTTGGTTGTTACATATGAGAATTACATCAAAAAGAAACGTTTCATTAGGATTCTTTTCCATAAGTTTATGGTTGACTCTCTGTATGGCCTGCAGGAAATAGGAGAACAAGAGGCAAAAATAACTTCCCCTTTGAAATTACATTAGTCATAGCACATGACAGCTGAGCAATGTGTAGTATGCTTTCAGTGTCCAGGCACGTGAGAGTGGTGACCTTGATAAAAGAAATTGCGGGACCATGACTCAGCACTTCACTGGCTGTGTTAGACGATTTTGGTTCCCAGTCTCCATTTTGATCAAAAAAGGCGCAGTGTTCGATGGCAATAACCAATGCATGTCTCGAGTCTTTCTGCAAGTACACATAGATTCGAGCAATGTACCTTAGAATCACATAAAATACCAAAAAAGCTTTTCAAATGTTCCCTTGGAAACTGGATATTGTAATTCGCTTACCTGCTTAATGTCAGTATTTACAACAATTTCTGCATCCATCTTAAATCGGCGGCATTACAGGTACTGCTGAGAATATAATTAGATAAATTACATATTAACTAAATTGGGGAATGGAAAAACTGAAATAATTTAAACAGTTAATGATTACATCACAAAAGAAATGGAAAATGAAGAATATTTGAGGAAAATAAACGCAATCAATAAACTTGGAAATTAAAACTGATCGCAAGGTTATGAATTATGAAAACCAGAAACGCAAAGTATAATTATCTATGTCTAACAGTTTTTCGCTAGGTTAACAAGTACGATGGCTCCAAACATCCCCAAATTAGGTAATGCAAAATTAGAAAGTTTTAAACACATTAAGGCATAGAACAACTGCCTATAGATGACTAAATTATACAAAAGCTCCAAAACGTAACACACCTCATACAACACACAATTCAGCGTACCTAAAAACTGAGTCTTCTTCTTTGAAAAATAGATCCACTTTATATGTGACTGTTGTAATTACTGCCACCTAGTGTATCGGAGTATAAATGTATCAGAAAAGGGTACTAACAGTACTGCGGCGGTGTGTGGTTATAGGTTATACGTTATGTTTGTGCGAGCGGGTTTACCTATCCTTATGTCCCCATAACGTGAAAACTCTATTTTATAAAAATCGGTGACTACTATGAAAAAACTAAAAATGCAAAAACTCTTGTATTTTGTTAGGTTACTTACGGTTATGGTTAGGGCAGGGTAGGGGTTAAGGTTGTCATAGTTAGCGTTAGCATTTTTCCCATTGAAATGAATGAGCGGTCCCCATAAGGATATGTTTACCCTACATGTGCGTGTGTGTATATATATATATTAATATGTATGTTAAGAATATATTAATATGTTAAGAATATGTTTTATGAAATGTGCCAAAGCAATTGAGAAAAACTTCATTCATTTCTATGGAAAAAACTCCTAACCCCAGCTGACACATTTAACCCCTACCCAAGGCCTAACCTTAACCATAAATAACCAAACAACAAACTTTGACATTTTAAATTTTGTGACTGCAGTCAAACTGGTAGGTTTTTTTTTTATCACATTGTGGGAACATTTGATCCCCACATATTGAGATATACATACCCGCCCTACACACACACAAAGCATTTCACCTACGTAACATTATCAACATACAACATCATCAGTGTATCTCCATGGCACTGTCTACCTCTGAATGTGAGAAATTTATATATACCCCACTCTGTATGTGTGTGAAGTACAGACTCAATGCAAGTGTGTGCAACATACAGACCGAACCTGTTTTCATTGTGGTCCTTCTGTAAACCCTGATGTTTACATATCTGTACTGCATGGGCAACTCCAGTGCGTCATATCAGAATACATTAGTAATGAAAATGCAGCCTGTGTGTAATTGTTCCGCTCGAAAGGTGCACTTGTTGTAGAAATTTCAGCTGACCTAGATTTTCATTGTAAACTTATTTTTTAATTGCCTTTGACTCTTTGACTGGAATATTAAGATCCATATATTTTTGTGGTGTGTGTGATCCTTTCCTTGGGTACAGTACGTCTACAGGTGAGTGTGTGAGGATTAGGTGTGGTTAGGTTTGCCTTGCTACCTTGCTTGGCATTCCGGGAACACCTGGAGCTGAGTGCCCCAGAAGCGGGTAGCTGATTTAACTGTGTTCTCTTGGAAGTTAAGAAGATGTTCTAGAGAAGCTTTTAAATGACTGGGGTGAAAGTAAAGAAGTGGAACCTGGAATTGGAGACAAGCGAGGCTTTACACAGAAGCCTATTTATAAGATAAAAGGTAAAAAAGACTCTTCCTGACTTAAAGATGCCAGATGGGCATAATGAACATGCAGCATTTTCATTATGGGTGACAATTTTTGAAAACCTTTGCTGCGGATATCGCCATGTTGATGATTAAAACTGTTTCTACCAGACTGGCTTGTAGTCTAATAGTATGCCTTATATGTGTTTTGATATCAGTATAATTTTTAGAGATTGGTAAATCATCTAATTATACCTGAGTAAGATTAAAACAACACGTGAAATTATACCTACATAAAAACAAAGCAACCTCTATCAAGAGTAAAATCTATGACAGTTTATGCTTCATTTTAGACAGTCAGAAAAAAAGAGTAATATTTAGTACCTTGTTTTGTCACTGGCGCTGTACCCTCAAGGGTCTGCCAGTTGTACCCTTAGCTGTAGGTAAATGTATCGTTTAAGGTACAGAAATGGACTCTCAGGAACATTTTTGTACCATTGATGGTACATTAATGTTGTCTGTACCTTGGGATACATTTACCTACATCTAGGGTACAACTGGCAGACCCTACACTGGGGTACAGCCCCAGTGACAAGCAAAGGTACAAACTGATACTCTTTTTTTCTGACAGTGTAGATTACACTCTTTGTAAAAATGATACATACATATATACAGTGCTAAACATTTTCTCAAAATATATTTCTTAAACAAGCAAATAAATATCTTCTCTGAGGGTCTGTGAGATTCACATGGCATGTTGTACTGAGTTTTTCAATAATAAGAATTAAAAACAAATCTCAAATCAGTTTGTTCAGCATAATATCAATGAAACAGTAATGGGGTTTTTATGAGAAGGATTTGTATGAGAAAGACAGGCTGTTGGCAAACAGGAGTAGTGAAAATCAGTTGAAAGTTGAACGCTCAAGAGAAAAGGGAGAGGTTGAGGATGAATATTTACTGGACTTGCATTACTGAGCCCATTCCTGTCGCGGGTCTTGTGTGTTTTCTGTACTGTTCTAATGGGTTTTTTTATATGGAGACAGTCATTCTTGCCATACAAAAAAAAGTTTTTAACAGTGTGTATACAGCATAGTCTTGCGTCAAGCAGCTTAAACACTGCTATCAACAAGATTCTCTGATATGCCGTTTAAGGACTTTGATAGGCCTGGTTAGAGAGACATAACATTCCTGCCAGACACAGTGAGTCCTGTCAATGTGTAAACACAAGTAATTTCAGCTACCCCCAGTAAAAATGATTTCCTTCCTCCTTGCATGTTTCTGCCCAATGAACATCCCGCTTAAACAAAGGCTTAGTGGATCAAGAGTCTAGAAACTTCAGGAACTTCGGATGAGTGGAGAATTAAATGCCTGCCCTCTTACCAAAAAAGTAAGTATTCCCAAATGTGCTGATGCTGGTAATGGTTCGTGGAAAAATGTGGAATATGCTGCAATATTTACAAGCAACTGGTGAATACGCTTTTAAGGTTGATTTTAATTTTGGTGTGTTTTTTGAGTGTCATTCCTTTTACAGTAAATGTCAATATTGTGGTCATGCTTAGTTATACAAATCTCCTAAACTCCTTCTGTTATTCATTAATTTATTTATTGCTATTTTTAAATTGTTCTTGCCCCTTCACATTAAGAATTAAGAATTACAGCCTCTATTGGTATTTAGAGTGAGCCTAAGTATTGTTTTCTGGGGAATGTTATCGCCAAAGGGCAGAGCACACCCTGTGTAAAGTTGCTAACGCTTTCATCACTGCTGGTGGAGTTGTTTAACCATGGTGGTGTCTAGCTTTCCGCTCTTTGTGAATCTGTGAGCCAGTGAAACTGAGTGAAACTTTCTGCCTCTTCTGTTTGTGATTACGTGCAGGCGCGTATTTGCAGTGTGAACCATTTCGCCCAGCTGAGATCTTGACAGCAATCTCATTCGATTCTAATTCTATGATAAATGGCTGTGGCAAGTATTTAGCTGCAGTTGCCCCTTTGTTTAAATTATTAAGTAATGCAAGGACAGAGTACGGCATTTAAAATAACGACAGTCCACCTGGCAGTGGCATGACGGCTTTTTCTGGCTGTGTGTGTGTGGAGTTTGTATGGAGATAACATGTTCTACCAGTGTTTGCATGGGTTACCTCTCATGGCCCTTATGGACTGGTGTGCTTAAATTAGGCTTAGTGTGATCTTGTGTGTACTTGTGTTGTACTGTGTATAATCTGTCCAGTCTGCACTCTGCATTGTTTAAGTGGCTATGGAAGATGACTGGATGGATGGATTACAGATTCCATTAGTAACCCACTCGTCCACCCGTCCATCCATCTTCTGTCTGCATATCCTGGTCAGGGTCATGGAGCGGCCTGGGGTCTATCCCCACCAATACACTGAAAAAGGCAGGAGACCACCTCTAATGGGATAGCAGCGCACACAGTCCAACACCAAGCTGCCCAGCTGCATGTCTTGGACAGCAGGAAGAAACTAGAGTAAAGGAAACTACACAAGCTGTGTACATGTACTACAGAGGCAGGATTCAAACCTTCTGTTATACTAAGAGTAATACTAGGTCTAACCAGCAGAGGGTAGTATGGGGAAACGGTTATTGCTACAGTGTTGGGATGCCTGATATGTGTACCTGTACCAGGGCTGAAATGTCACTTTTAACTCTAAATGTTGTTTCAGACCTCACCATTTCAGCTGCTAGATCATGTCTACCAGAAAGCCATCAAAACCCACTCACGCTAGACTTAACACCAACGTAACACTCACCACCGCGTTCAACAGCACCACCGCCGCTCCTGGCTTTATCGACCAGCTGCTCAACAAGATCCCCTGTGAGTACAACGGCCCCCCAGGCTCTCTCCTGTCCTCTGGTTCCGTCGTCCCGCTTCGCAGATGGATCGCAGCGATGGCCCCTGCACCTGTTTCACCCGTCAGATCTAATTCCACTCCAACGGCAGATATCTCACCTCTCAATTTTCACATCTCACGAATTCACCTCGCTTTAATCCTCCTGGCCATGCTCTTGCCCCATGCTTTGCATTGGTGCCATAGCAGCCTATATCTCGTATATGTGCTCTGCAGTTTCTGGGTTTACATGCGGGTTCTCACCTCCTTGTCTCCCTCCCAGTGCCAAGATGGGCCATCTACGCCATCCTGGCTCTCATCCTCCTGGTGTTTCTAGTTTGCATTCTCTGCATCTGTATAAAATGCTGCTGCAAAGGGAAGAAACAGAAGAAGAAAAAGAAACCAGACCAGCAGATCAATCTCAAAGATGTTAATGGCTCCACTACCACTGCACTGGTGAGATGAGCCTCACATCTTCAGTGTAACAAATCCAGAAGTACTATACTACCACAGGCATTGTTTATGCATGGCTTTATATGATATCTAGTGTGAAGCACAGTCTTAGTAAATAAATAACTGGTGGCTGCCTGTCTAATGCAGTGGTGTAGCAGCGCCTTTCATTTGCAGGTCCAGCCTGATACCATACCGTGACTGGGAAGTTGAACCTGAAACCATGTCTGTGATAGGTAGGATGACCTTGAAACCACGTCTGTGATTGGTAGGATGAGCTTGAAACCATGTCTGTGATTGGCAGGTCCAGCCTGACGTAGATGCGGAGTATGGCTCAGCAGACAAAAACAGAGGAAGAATTCTCTACTCTCTGGAGCACAATGCACAGACATCAGAGGTTGGCCTCTGCTTACACCTAGATTTGATTGCTTTTAATTTCAAGTATTTTTTATTCTGAATTGTTCTGTTTTTCTATGTTGGCATTCTCTTGCAAGCTGAGCTTACTCTTTACAATTTTTCTCAGTTTGCTTTGGCACATTTCATGAAACATACTTAACTTTCTCCAGATGATAAGGGCATTTCCCAAAACAATTCATGCACACACCACAAGACTATGGTTTATGTACAAAAGCCTGTAATGTATCCAAAACAAATAACTCATTTCTTAAAAGCAAATAATTCCACCAATGAATTAGTCAGTGGTACCAAAATGAAAAGTACAAACTGTATTGTTTTAACCATGAGGGTCAAAATGCTTAGATATATTGTCAGTATGTCAGTGTAAGTCTGCTCCTGAGTGTCCACGATTCTGAGTGATAGTCGGTTCCCACTTTCTCATTGTTATTGTTCTTTAGCAAATTGTTACTTATTTATGTCAGAGATACCAGTTTCAGCTTTGCAAGGCTCTACATTATAGTATGTAAAGTTCACTGGCAAGAAAAAGCACTCGCATGCACATGTAACAACTTCACATCTCAAGACACAGTACAATAGGAAACAAACACAGCACAGTATAACACAAACACAGCAAAATGGCACCACAAGAAAATGACAACAACTCTGGAAACCAAAAACACAACAATGCCCTATCACTGCAATTTAAGGAATATATTTTTAAATCAATTTGAAAGCTTAACTTAACTGTTTTGTATGTGGTGGCAAACACAATGATGACATGCATATATAATTTTGAGTGTAAAATTATTACAGTGGGAACCTACATAATCTATTTTTACCAACAAGACTATAGCAACTGAAAATTGTGCCAAATGATGACGATTGTACAAAACCATTTGCATATATGAACTAAAACATTTGGAAATTTGTATGCAGCAATTAGACGTGATGTTCTGCTGTGCAGACGTGTCATTATGGTCTGGGGATTACACCTTACATACCTTGAGAAACGCTCCAAAGCAATTGAGAAAAACTGTAACGGTTTTGGTTATTCTGTAATATGTGTTTTGCAATGAATTATTGATACAGTGTTTTTGCTTTGAAAATGATAACACTACTCAATAATTGTGAACACCCGTTTTATCCTCCATCATAGTCTAACCCCCATCTTAACCTGAATTGTTAACCATTCAAATAAAAGTCACGTTGATGCTTGTTGAGCGACATTAATGCCGCCAGTTGCTCACTCTTTGACAGCTGACAGTGGGCATCAAGGAGGCCAGTGCATTGAAGGCTATGGATTTTGGAGGATCCTCAGACCCCTATGTCAAAGTCTACTGCCTTCCCAAAAAGTCAAAGACCTATGAGTCCAAAGTCTTCCGGAAAACTCTCAACCCAGTGTTCAACGAGCATTTCAAATTCCAGGTGCCACATAAAAAAAACCCATGAATACTGTAGACTAGTAAACCCTACATATTTAGGCAGAAAATTAAAAAAGTCCTTAGTTTAACTACTAATCTTAATTCATTTCATCATCACTTTGTACTTTTTAAGCATTTATGGAAGTTGAATTGGATGATAGATTTATCTGTTTCAGATATTTTAATGTTGGTGTGTGTATATTACTGCTGTTCATTAGTCTATTAACCAAAAGTGATATAAGGGCAAAAAAATATGGGCCAGAATTATTTATTTGCCTTATACTGTTTAATATTTTTAAACGGTCTTTGCTATTTGAATACTCATATCATCAAAAGATGACATTTTTGATTGATGAAAAATTTAAAATTAAAATAGCTTTAAATGTAGGATCTTAACTGTACAGTAATGCAGTGTGTTCCAACCTGGTCCTATGGGACCAATAAACATTCCATGTTTTTGCTCCCTCCCAACTCCTTGCCAGACAGTCCATGCTTTTACTGGACTGTGGACTGTCTGCGGGAGCCTGAGGACCAGACTGGGAAACACTGCTGTTAAGATTTTGTAGAAATATTTTGGAAAACATCATATTTCCACATTTTCAGAAAATGTCTGATGATTATGGCTGTATGCGTTGTTTTCTGTGCCCAGATTTCTCAGGCTGATCTCAGTGAGTCTACGCTGGTCGCGCAGGTGTACGACTTCAACCGATTCTCCAAACACGACATCATTGGTGAGCTTCGGCTACAGCTTGGCACGGTGGACTGGAACCATGTGATCGAGGAGTGGAAAGATCTGAATGAGCCATCCAAGTTTGAGGTTTGAGTTGGGTCTATCTCCGCACCTATCACTGCATTGGTCACATTAGCTAGAATTTATTACTTGAGTTCAAGCTTCATGGTCGCTTATTGTCCTCAACAGCAGTGTATCCATACATATTGAGATGGCCAATACAGTGTGAGAGAGGTGAAAGAATAGAGATAGACTATGGTTCTAATCAAGACTGTTTCTCCATGGACCGCAATGCAACATACAACAACATATACAATACAATGTGCAAAAATATCATTAAACAGTGCAACAATATTCAGTATAGTGCCATGGGGTATTGAGGTATATTCTTGCAGTTGGAATTGTTTTCTTATTGCATCAGAGCCCGGACTATTTACTGCATGATATTGTATATGTATATTGATGGATTGGGATGCTATTATACCACAGCAAGAAAACCTAGGCGAGATTTGCTTCTCCCTTCGCTACGTGCCGACGGCCAACAAGCTGACCATCGTGATCCTCGAGGCCAAGAATCTAAAGGACATGGACATAAATGGGTCTTCAGGTTAGTGAGTAAAAGCTCACAGATGTGGCCTATGGGCAGCTTAGCTTTGACCAGCCACCCATGTCGTCTGTGATGATATTAACCTGATGGGAGGGAATTCCTGTAAGGAAGTTATTTACCTAATTCCCTAAGAGGAAGACATGGTAATAGTGGCTTGGGTGGTAAGACACAAGAGAGGAAAGGCAGTTTGAGGAAGACAGACCCAAACAACAAATAGGATGCAAATGAAACATAAATGTGAATCGAAATATACAGAGCACTCAGAAGCATCCCCCAGAAATAGACATGCTTCAAAGTGAAAGGAAAAGAGGAAAACAGCAGATATATGCAAATACTTTTTTGGTTATATCGGCAGCTGAAAGTGTAGAAACTTTGATTGCTGGAGCGGGCCATTGTTTATGGAAGAGCTATGGAAAAAGCCGGATGCAGTCAAGTATTACTGGACTGATATGTATAACATGGAAGGTGTGTAATTTAGTACAAAGGAAGCAATTGATGAAGCTATTGATGACAGATCAAAGGAAGCTGGGTTGGACTGGCTAATCAAATCAGCAATCACGTTATTGAGTTTTCTTCTTGTTTTTTTTATAGACCCGTATGTGAAAGCGCAGCTGATACTAGACAAGAAAAAGTGGAAGAAAAAGAAAACCTCAGTTAAGAAGAAGACACTGAATCCGTACTTCAACGAATCCTTCACTTTTGACGTGTCATTCGAACAGATCCAGGTAACCGTGAACTCACATAGATATGCATACACAACCATACACACACACACACACACACACACACAGACCTGTGCTCATATTTTTGTGGGGACCGTCCATACTGTCCAGTTATTATCACAATGTAATGTATACCTGAACCACACACACACACTCACACACACACATACACTATGGGCAATTTATATACAACAATTAACCTCCCCAGCCTCTTCTAGGCCAAATGACAAAAAGAATCGCAGCTGTAATATATATATATGTATATGTATATGACCTGTGCCTGACTCCGCTGTGTTATTGCCCTGTAGAAACTGCAGCTGGTGATCTCAGTGTGGGATCACGACAAGCTGAGCAGGAACGACGCCATGGGGAAGATCTTCCTGGGCTGCGACTCCACGGGGAACCAGCTGCGTCACTGGGCAGACATGCTGTCCAACCCACGGCGCCCCGTGGCCCAGTGGCATTCCCTGCTGTCGGCCGAGCAGGTGGACTCCACCCTGGCGCTGAAGCACAGCATCAGGATACCCTTCACCAATAAGGTCTTCTGACAGCCCCGTCGCCGCGCTGGGACTTCACCTGTGCTGGACTATTTCTGTCTTTAGAACAGAATCATTCATCTTCAGTCGCCCCCAATGACATTTCTCGGGTGTTACATTGTGGAAATGTTTCTCTTGTTAGGGGAGGCTTTTGGCATCATGAAATCACACATGACTCATTTTGGGGTCAACACTGTAGCCAGCATGACAGCTTGATCTCCCCTTGTCCATTTGCTATAGTTTGGGTTTAAAGGTAAGAAATGTGGATTCTGTAAGTTTGTTATAATTTGGGAAGAGCTCTGTAGTGGCACTTATAAAACTATGCATCACATCTGGGAATTACAACAGAGAGGTGAAAAAACTGGACTATTATTCGAATCCAAATTGCTTTTATTAATGATCTGAATTGTTTTTATAAGCAGGAAATACAAATGTTGCCACTTTTGGCATCATCACACTGTATTGGATGTCTGTTAACAATACAGTGAACATCTGCTTTAAAGGTTCATAAGAGTGCAGAATATAATTGCAGAATATGTACTTGAGTTATCTTCGTTTCACTAGAATGAATTGCAAATATTATTTACATCTTTTTGCCTGGAACGGTTTCTGTCATGGTTTTTTCCTGTGCCCGGCTGCAATAAGCAAGTTTGATAAAATAGCATTGATCCCTGGAGTTTGTTTGCACAGGTTTTGAAAGTACGGCCATTTCTTTGGGCTTTCTCAGACTGCAGTTGACAAGGCAATTAGAATAGAAACTGGCTTCATGGAGAGCAAATAAATGAATGCATTCATGGCTGCATTAAACACTGGGGAGAAATGGAGAAATTATTGCAGGCAAAGAGATTACACGTCTTGAGACTTGCATCACCTGGTATCCAGGAGACTGGGGTTGAACCAAAACGGAATTCACCAATTTGTATGCATAATGGAGAATGAAGGACAGGTGGACGTAATCAATACAAACAATAACTGATGCGATTTTTAACATCACATGCAAAGATTGATTGACAAGATGGATATGAGACAGAATGGAGGCAGTGGCAGATGACATTCTTGGTAATGGGTCATGCAAGATGATTTTTGGAAGCACATCTTGTACCTGAGATTATCCTTGTTAACCTGATTGAACAATAATCGTTCCCTGCAATCTCAGCAATAACCAATGATTCAGCAAACAGACAAAACAGAAACATACCGTTTCAGTTATCCGATGTACTGTCTACATGCTACGGAGGTGACTGCTCTCCTGAGCTTGGTTAGGTGCTCCTGCAGAGCTGACCTTTTCGGCCATGACTCACCTTCTGCTGGCTGCTGAGTCCTCTGATCTCCCTACATCCACCAGGAAACAAACACAGAGCTTTCCTGTCGGTCCCTGCCGTGAAACACACAAGCAGTGTGCCGCATCAATTCCCACTGGAGTAGGAGGTCAAGACCAGCCTGCTGAAGTTTATTTTTGGTTTTGTTCATATTTTGTGTACTGTTTATAGTTTAACCTACCTACTCTACACGGCATGGGTAGAAATAACTTTAATTGCTTAATAAAAGTTGCCTAACACCATATTTAGAAAAATTCCTTAATCCAGTGTTTCCCTACCCAGTCCTCGGGGAACTTTGGACAGTCCACGTTTTTGCTCCCTCCCAGCTCCCAGCCAATCAGGAACACTGAATACCTGGTACAGGTGCACTGGGAGCTGAGAGGAAGCAAAAATGTGGGCTGTCTGGGGTCCCCGAGGACTGGGTTGGGAAACACTGCCTTAATCTCTCCTATATACTTTGAATGGGCAGTGGTGGCTTAATAGTTAGGGATGTGGACTTGTAACTGAAAGATTGCAAGTTTGAATCTCTGAGCAGCAAGGTAGCGACCCCAAGCACTGCTCTCTGGGCGCTGAATTAGCTGCCACAATGATGTCACAACGTCACATGTGGGTTAAATGCAGAGGACACGTTTCGTTGTTGTGCTGTTCTAATTCTAAATGTTGATCTACCCATCCTCAAACCATGATTTTTCCTTACTTCTGGTGTCATCATCCCATGTTTGAAGACTGCTAGACCATTGGGTTAAGGAGGTAGAAAGATGCAGGGCTCGATGTCTAGGTGAGGCCATAGTGTGGCAGACCTGCATGGCTAATGCACGTCGTGCACCAAGGAGTGAAAAACCCCGTCTTGCAAGAGCCTTTGAAATGCTAATTTGCTCCCACTTGTTTTATCCTTCCTTAGCCCCTTTGCATTGGTGTCTATAGCAGCATAACCTTCACATGGGACAATCAGTCACCTTTGAATAAACACAAGAGTGTGTCTGACATGAGCAGTACAGAGTTAGTGTGACATACTCTGCTTCCTCGAGGGTGATACAGTCAAACGTAACGACAACAATAATAACAACAGCATATTTCCAAACATTAGGGTACCGCAATATAAATTTTGGGCTATTGTGATTACATGTGAAATTGCATTCAGGTAAATGTAGATTGCAAAGAACACCTCAATCCACATATCAACTCATCCCTCAGTCCTTGTTCCAACCACTTTTGCAGTGCTGTACAGGGCTGGGCTGGTGGTTATCCTAGGCTGAGGAACACTTTCTCAAGCAGAACAAGTTATTTGTTTGCTTAAGATAACTCTTTAGGCAGGATGAAAAAACGGCAATACCTTACTAGAGGGAGCACAAGGAACTTAGTAAGTCAGTTATTACTCAAGTGCTAATCATGAACAAATATGGAAATACACGAACCGTTATGACAGATTAATGATGAACGAACATGGGATCAGTCCGTAACTAACACTTAGTTTCTGGTTAATTAATTAATATGTAAGTGTACTACTGCATCATTTGTGTAAAGTGTTGCTGAAAAAACAGACAATAATGATGACTAATGAAGAAAGGATAGAAAAAGGAAGGTATTTACCCTATGTGTTTGCAAAACACTAGTTGAGTGGCAGTCACAGGTTGTTATAGGGCTCGTGTGCTGTGTCACGAGTCCTCTGCTCACCCTCACTCACTAGTGACATCACCCTGGTCCTAGTTGCCAAGATACCGCAGGAAGGGAAGGGCTGACCAGTTGTAAGGTGCTGTTGGCTACCAACATAAGTGATTGCACTGAATGGTTTTGGAACCTTGACAAGTGGGAAATTCCTTGACTAACATCCTTCATCAACTTACTAGTTATTACAGGTGAGTAAAGTTTGATTCTTATCCTGCATTTCAGAATTTAATAAAACTTCATTTAAGTAATTTAAATAAACTTATTATGTTCAGACATAGTCATAAATAGATAAAAAAATACATATAAATAACCAAATTGTTCCCTATACCACCTGGATAGGCTTCAGATTCAACACAACTCCAATCTGGATAAACAATAAAGTCTCTGGGTGGATAGATGGATTCATAGAAGAGTGATGCACTTTATTTTTCTTAATTTTCAATGAATTGCAAAATATCAACAAATGCATTTTAAAAAATTGGTTCCTAATTTCCCCTGCAATACATGCTAATTTTCATTCTAGTTAGCATATTAATTAAAGCAGTTTTACCTGAATACGGCGCTAGATTTCATATACACTTTTCAGTATTCACGTAATTTGTAATTAAGGTAGATGCTCCAGTGATTTGATCTATATTTTTAAATCTATTATTATTTCAAATGACCCGATCGCAACAGATAGTGACATCCACAGCAATAATTTATACAAGAACAACGACCGCAGTTTGGACGGACTTCATCTCCCAGCATTCCCTCGTCGTCGCGTGGTTGAGGTAACTCGATTGTCCACGTGAGCTTTTTTCAGCTGTATGCTGCATAGATCGAGTGGATGGCGGAGGTTCCGTAGAAATAATGTATTTTCGGTTTCAGATCCTTTTATACATGTAACGAAAGTGTCATTGTGTTTATCGTGGCAAATAGCGTATCTTGTGCAACGCAGTCATTTGTGTGTACGTGTGGAAATGGCCAAAGATTTTGCTGCAGCTTCAAGGGGCTGCGATGCCATCTCTTCGGAGAGCTCTGCAGTGATTAAAGAACACAAATCACGAGGGTTGCCATTCATGCAGATGTACGAAAACCATTTTATTTATTACGGCTGCCGGTTCGATAAAATTACAATTTACCGTGGTTAGCTACATTAGATTACTGTATAATCAGAGTTTCGTTCTGTAAGATGCCAGGTTTCTCGTATGTTTGCACCATAAGCATCGTTGTAAATTGCGTGGGAGTCGTTTTTCCTTCTAATAAAAATGATACTTTGTGTTTAAATTATCTTTAACAGAGAGTGCTTCGAAGCATTTCGGATTTCGTGCAACATCTCATTTGTATTGTTTGTTTTCCAGGGGGTCATAAGATGGAATCCATAGAAAAATGGAACAAAGATGTTTTCGTACTTAAGCTGCCGGATAAGAAGCTAAACTCCAAAAAGAATGGTAGGGCAGGTATTTCGTGTTTTTAAAATTGAACATACATGATGATTAAGTTGTGTAATTGTTACAGCATGTATTATATTCCGTCTTGCGAAAATGATTCTGATTTAGTTTGTGAACTGTTTAGTTTTTTTTAATTAGTTATCTGACACAATAATAGGTCTAAGAGGAATTCATGAATGATTTCTTGTTTTTTTTCTTCCTACTTTTCTTAGGCATGATAGCCAAGTATGTTCACAATCCGTCCAAGATCAACAATAGTCTGCAGCCCTCGATCACTCGTTCAGAATATGTTACTGGTAGGTGCAGTAAATCTGGTGCTCGAGTCCGTCCATGTTCAGATGTGGCATTTTAGCCTGCATGTTTAAATCAACACTGACAGCAGACCATGACAAACGTGTGTGTCTTCCCGTTAGCTCCTCCTGTAACTGGAAAAAGTGTTGTTTTATCTCTGCTAATCAGTGACACATGCAAACATTGAAGTATCCTGCCCTGTTAAGTCTGCTTGGGCCTAGTGCACCAATTAGATTTTCCGGCGTTAACGTTTAGCCTTAAAGTGATTATGATGCCTCCTTTATGTATTGTGGGCTTTGATCTCTTAGAACTCTGTGTTTGTGCACAAAGGTACAATTACATTTTTTTACAATGGAAGTGGAAGTGGCATGTGGCAATGGGCCAGTTGAAATCCGTGTGAAGCCTGTATCGTCTATGTGTGACTTGAATTTCACGCGTACCCGTGTTTGCGTGTCTCCACCATTAGCTGTCACCAGTGAAAATTCTGATACTTTAGACATATTCTTATAATTGAGTACAATCTAGAACAGGACTGGGCAATCTTATCCACAAAGGGCCGGTGTGTATGCGGGTTTTTGCTGCAACTCCCTAATTAGATTACTAATTAGAGCAGTGTTTCCCAACTCGGTCCTCGGGGAACCCCGGACAGTCCACTTTTTTGCTCCCTCTCAGCTCCCAGCCAATCAGCAACACTGAATACCTGGTACAGGTGCACTGGGAGCTGAGAGGAAGCAAAAACGTGGACTGTCTGGGGTTCCCCGAGGACTGGGTTGGGAAACACTGAATTAGAGGACCGATTGGCTGAAGAGTCCTTGCCCCTGGGTTTGAACAGCTGACCTAAAGGTTATACCAAAAACCTGCATACACACCGGCCCTTTGTGGATAAGATTGCCCACCCATGATCTAGAACAAACTTCAGTGAGATTGACAAGTACATTGCACTCATTGACCATCTTGGTTTGAGGTTTTGTAGCCTATCCAGGCTGTATTTTGACTCTGTTCTTCTCACCTGGTGACAGAAGAATGCTTGTTGTTACACTTTCTTGCCAGATGTAGCAGTAGTAGATGTGAATGAAATGCTTGATTTTTTTTCTCTCTAATTGTGTACTTCATGGGATTGTATGAAGCTCAGTGGGTTAAGCATCAGTACTTGTGTCTGGAAGGTATTACAGCACCAGTAGGAGCCTTGGGCAAGGCCCTTAACCTCAGCTGCTCCAGGAATGCTTTGCTCTCTGACCCTAAAAACGTTCCTCACTTGTGTTGCTTTTGACAAAACTGTCTGCCGAATAGCTACATATCATTTAAAGTAATGGGATTTGCAGCCTTTTTTGTTGAAGTTTCTTTAATGTTTGAAATGGCAATTAAGGGTTTATTGTATCTTTAAGAGGCATAGGTCTTCCTCTGCAGGACCTCGGTGTGGTCACTAGGGGGCAGGATTCTTTAGATCCCCCCCAGTGTATAATACTTGACAGTGAGATAGCTGCCCTCTTCTATCCTCCCACCTGCTGCATTTTACCATTGAGAGTATACAAAGTTTGGTCCTTGTGGCTGTGAGTCATGTGCTTGTCTCCACTTCAGCTGTGTCAGCCCCACGTCTCCCCGGGTACCTCCCCCCCCCCCAGCACAACAAGCCCCCTACCCGGCACGTTATCACAGATGTGCTGCGGACATTTGTATGCGAGGCCCCACAATTTATTCTAATGCTGGTCCGTGCGATAACGCCTCACTGCCGGTTATGTAACCACGCTCGGAGAAAGTCAGGAACGCATATCTCGCCGCGGCCTTAAACGCATCACAGACCAGGCTGCTATTGTTACGCCTACGAGAGGACTACTCAAGGGCTGAAATCGCCGCTGAAACGTGGTGGAGCGCGTCGACAAGTCGTCTGGTCAGATTCACTGGGTCTTGTGATGTAACTGCTCTGGTACTTTTTGTATTTTACTAACATGATTTTCAGTTTCCTGGGAAGAACCAGAATCAATTTTTTCCCCCACCAATTGCTTTCCATACATTTCATACATACATTTCTATACATTTTTTTCAGGTTTTTTTGGTGCTGAGTATGAGGAGTAAGTGTCTATCCAGTACCAGTGCATACAATAGGAACATGAAATGTAATGTACAGATAGACAGGTGCACAACGGGGATGAGGTAGGATTGGGGGAAATGGCAGCGAGATGTTCCTCTATGTCAATAATGAGTAATAAATATATGGCAATAAGTAAATAATGGTTGTGGTGAAATAATTGGCAGATGGATGAACAGGCAGCATGTAATGGGAGGCTTTTCCCCCTCCGGTGCACATGTGTAGGCTCCTGTCCCAGCCTCATCATGAGTAGGCCTGCGCAGCCCGAGTCCCGGCCGGGAGCCCGGGTCCTGACCCCACAGATGCCCCCCAGGACCCACCGGCCCCTCTGCTTCTCCATCTCCTCCGACAGCAGCGGCCGCTTCAAGGCCCTGGAGACGCCCGAGTGGAAGAACAACCTCAAAGCGCAGGTGACGCCTTCGGTCGTGAGACCCCACTGACGGTCCCGCATGCCTGTCAGCCCGGGCCTGACGCGGAATGGCACCGGAGGCGCTGACGTTCCCTTATTGTGTTCCCTTGACACAATAATAAGTAGTAATAAGGGCTATTAATAATAGCCCCCACCCAAAACCTTCTGCTATGCTCTCTCTCATGTGGTCTCTTGAGGGGGAATAATTTATGATAATAAATAATAATAATAACAAGCATGGCCATTGAAATAAATGTGACTGGGCATGTTAGAGTTCTAAAGTGTGTGATAGAGTGCTAAAGAGTGTGATAGAGTGCTAAAGTGTGTGTGACGTCCCTGCAGATGGAGCAGGCCCACAGCGCGGGGGCCGCCAGCAGCACGGGCTCCCTAGAACGCGCTTCCCTCTTCTGCGCCTCCGGTTCCACCGCGGCCCCCAGCTCCGGCCTCCCCAGCCCTGTGGAGCCTCTCGTCAAGAGCAGGTCCTCCAGCCGCTTCGCCCTCTTCTCCCCGCCTTGGAACAGCAGCACCGAGTCGGACTCCAACCCCCCGTCGCGCTCGGGCTCCAAGAAGCTGCGCAGCTACAGCTGCCGCGCCGGTTCCGGCGGGACGGGCGGCGCTGAGCCCAGGGCGGCGGACGGCGAGCACTTCCACTTCTCCGAGCCGGTCATCTCCAAGGTGACCGACTACATCTACGTGGGCAACCTGAACGCGGCGTACAGCGGGCGCACGCTGTGCAGGAACAACATCGACAGCATCATCGACATGAGCAGCCTGCCGGGGGAGGCGGGGCCCTGCCTCATCCCCTGCACCTGCACGCGGGGGGCTCGGCACAGCTGGTCCCGCCTCAAGGTGGACATGGGCGACCTATCGGACGCCGTCGTTGAGGGCCCCGCCCTCCGGCAGCGCTGCTTCGAGGATATTAACGAATGCATCGACGCCTCCACGGAGAAACGCAAGCGCGTCCTGGTTCACTGCCGGGACGGCTACTCTCTGGCCCCAGCCTGCATCATTCAGTACCTCATGGTTCGGCAGAACATGAGGCTGATCGCCGCCTACGAGCTACTCAGGGCCCGATACCCAGTAAACATCCGGGAGTGCCACCAGAACGTGCTGGTCAGCCTGGAGAGGGCGCTGCGTCCTGGCGGGGATGTGGACCCTGAGTGTTTCAAACAGGCGATCTCCCGAAAGGTGGCCTGGACCTGACCCATCTTCCTGGTTATTGTGGTAATTTTTATCTCAGCTTTTTTTTTTTTTGTGATGCTAGCCTCATCAAGTCCCTCCTGAATCAGATCTGTGAGTTGTGATGTTGTGATTCCCGTAGGAATGATCAATGAGCTATTTAAAGTATATATATTAATAAATGGGTTGTACTCCGCTGTTCGCAAGTTGGACTCAGAATAAATTCATCAGGATGATCCTCTGCGGCTGTCTGTCACTCTGATGGTCCAGTCTGCCTGCGGGGACCCTTGTTCTTCAGTGTAGCTGTCATGGACACCCCCAAACACCTTTGTTTCCGAACTTTCCGAACTTTTGCGGTGCACTCTCTGTCATGCTGGATTGAATGCTGTCATTTCAGAGGATCTCGGGTGACCCGGTGACATGGATGTGGGATTTTATGCCGATCATGGCATCTTCCCTGGCTTCTGATTGGCTGGGGGTGACTCAGACTTTTGTGGGGTATGGGGAGGGAGAAGACCCCACGTGTGTGTGTGTGTGTGTGTGTGTGTGTGTGCTTTTCTTTTTAGACTTTCAGTTATCCAGTAATGCTCGTCCCTCACACAAGCATTCTGGGTGACCGGTCTCGCTGAACGAGCAGGATAAACATTATCCGATTGTCCACAGAGCTCTCTGATAACTTCAAGGGCAGTGGAGACAACACAGCATGGGGCGTCTTCTCATTGATGCGTTTCCATTGTGACATCTCTTGGCAATCCGGCGCCCGTGAGCATGGCGTGCTTGTTTTTTGACACTGGTTTTGACCTGTCGCTGGGTGCCGCCTAACCGCAACGGAGAAGCTGTTATTTTTTATTTGAATTACATCCCTTTCCTCCTTCCTCAAATCTACAAGCATTGCAGATCCAGGCAGTCATTTCAGACACTGACGACCATCCCCTTGTGCTTTCGCACGAAACCGTGGTGTTCGTGGAATTTTCCGTGACGTTTTAGCACAGCACAGTCCTACGCTATTCGATATTACAGAGTGTCGTATGTGCTTGGTGTTCTGATTGGTCGGCCGGTCATCGGTGCCAGTATTTATCCAAACAAATGTTGTGATGACCAAAATGCGAAACGTTTGTAACGTAACATCTGACAGTGCATTCTCCCAGTGTGTCTGGTATTGATATTGTTTTTCATTGATGGAAGATATGGCTACTGTTCGTTTGATTTCCAGGTATTGGTTTTGCTAGTTGATTTTTTAATTTTTAATATATATAGACTGATACTCCTGTCAGTGCTACGTAAGTCTAAGAACACTCAGGCAAATTTTGTAAAACCAAGAAGTTCTGACCGTGTTGGAAAGGTAATTTACAAAAACATGCAAAGCCAGCAATGTTTCTAGTGTCATGGTTTTAAAGTCCAATGTATTTGTAAATGGTGTAAATATTAAAGGCGACTTGGTGCAGTTGTACTAGGCTGGACTCTGGCATGTTCTTTTGTTTGTTTGGGCTGTTTTTTTGGTGATTGCATGTTAGTGTAGTAGGGGATGAGCATCAGTTTTATTTTTACATAATTTTGGTTTTGTTATGTGGGTCATAACCCATAGTTTGGATTCATCCTCATGAGCATCTTGCTGTTTAAATTAGGCTACGTTTTTCAGGTACCAGAGGATTATAGGGAATGAGAGAGAGCTGGGATTTCTGTTTATATTTTCGTTTTCATCTACACAAGTAGAATGCAGGCAATTATCAAGGAGATGATACTGCGATTACATACTGGGAAGATGACTTCACAGCTCGATGCTTTTCACCATGGTAACTCGGGTCAAGTACCCTTCTTCTGGGTATAGGGGTTGGATACGGAAAACGGAATCGGCCAGCTTGATGTTTCACAACTGTGTCCACAACCATCACGTCATCTGCTGTTCCACGTTACAGCCACAGGACTGAAGAGCAGAGGAGGCAGGTCTACGTCACTGTGCCGGGCGCCTGTTACAGTCTTCCAGTGACTGAAACAGGCTCCTGTTCAGTGAGTTTCCCTCTGGCTGATTTTAAAGGGCAGAACGATTAGCAGCTTTAAGACCCCGAGTTCTTTACATAACGAGACGGTAATTCAGTAATTTGAATTTTTCAGAAAACGATCCGGTGTGATTAAAATAATCTAATAAAGACGACACGCTTAGCCCTTGGAGCAGTTGGCTGCAGTTAAGGGCAAGTAGCATTTTGTGTGTTTGTCTTTTGCAGAGTTTCATTAGGACAGGGGTTCCCAGCTCTGGGCCTTTAGCATCCCAGCCTTGCATAGCTTAGTTCTCTCTCCATCTCACCATACCTGATCCAACTGCAGAATCGAGAAACCCAAAAACGTGCAGGGTTGGTACACGGCTGCATTAGAATGTCATACTAAGCAATCTGGGCAAATATAAGCTGCAAGTCCTTTGTGTATTTCTGTTCTGTTAGTGAAACGCAGCCTTTCTAGCACTGATGCACATTGTCATCGCTGTACGTGGATCAGTGTGATTCAGCTGTAGGTTTCGTCTCCATGACTCCGATGAGCTATAGCAAGTAAATCTGTGACTCCACTCCCATCCCACATCCCAGTGTCCCTTAGGGATTTCCCGCCTCCTAATTCCTGCATGCCCCTCCCCGTCTGCTTCTGTGTGAAACATCTATTTCTGTCCTATTAATTCCATTGCCTTTCTTGTATGCCCCCCCCCCCCCCCCCCCCGACAGCCCTCCGATGATCACTCACAAAACTGTCTCATATTTGGCCCCCATCCCCCAAACCTGATCTCTGCACCGGTGACTGTAATAGTCTCTGCAACTGCCAATCAGCTCTCAACATGTCCATGTCATCTCAGGTTACACGTCTTGCATCTGCTTCTTTTTTCCCCTTGGTCTTTCTAACCCTCTGTTTACTGCCTCCATGGGTGTACTGGTGACCCTGGTTTCACATATTTGTCACTCTTTGTCCCTCCTTATGTCATACCCTATTTTCATTGGGTAAGCACCACCTCCTCACTCTTCTCATTGGATAACTGCAAGTGTTATGTGCTAACCCTGTCACTCTTTGCTAGTAGCCCCTCAACCTGAGACTCTCCATCCAATATCGATTTGCCTGCATAGCAAGTCAGCAGCTCAAGTGGCAGGATACTGTACGTCTGACATTTGATTGACAAGCTCCATAAATACCACTTATTTTAGGATGTAAAATGAGTAAAAGCCCAACTACCCAAAGGCAAGTCTGGTGACCCCTGTGTATAAAAGTCTGGTGACCCCAGTGTATAAAAATGGACTAAGGGCTTTGCACCTGTAAGACCGCCTTTAGGTAGACGGTTGTTGAACTCAGCCAGACTTCAGGGATCTGCTGCACAATTAAGATTTTTAGTTGCAAGTGCTGATGAGGTAATAAACGACCAGAAGGAAACCAACTACAAAACATAATTTCTGCTAGTGCAGGTAAAGCAGGGGATTTACCTTGAACTACATATGAGTTGTGGAAAATGTCTTATTCCTTTATCTATGGCTTTTACCCCTGGATCTTTCTCCTCAGCTGGAAACTGCTGCATTTTGGAGTAACTGGGTTGAAAAGATTCACCAGCTCTGTCCTAACTCTAGCCACCATCCTGAAATGGTATGTTTTGTTCTCACCTTGAGTTCCTTCTGAATCTCATACTTTAGAACGTGCAGCCAATCTGGACAAGTGCCCAATGTCGAAGCCATAATTGCAAGAAGGTGCCACAATGTCTTCGCAAATCCTCCACCACCTCGGACCAAATGGACGTCTTTGTGAATCCTAAAGCCTCTCAGCTTCACGCTGGGCGTTGCCTCATTCACCTTCATTTCTTCACCCCACTTGCTTTGGCCTGATGCTCTTGTCTCTTGATTTATGGCTGCCGTTTCCCCTGGGGAATGCATGCGTGCACCACCTCTGCCAGGGAGTCTGGTCTCGTTGAAGCACTCTGCCCGCCTGCCAAATCTCCATCCATTTATACATTCTGTTTAGCTTTCATCTGCCAGTCTGTCAGCCACTACACTCTGCTCCTTGGTATGGGAGAATCATTCATTTTCACCACCACCCTGTCAGACGATGATGAACTATCTGCTGACATCAGAGAGGCAGGGGACCTACCATCCTCCAATTAAAATGTTCCCTCAAAAGAACGGAGATGACATCATAATCTCAAAGGAAGGCAGAAAAGTTTGTGAACCCTTTGGAATCTGGATTTATGCATGAATGCCTTTCATACATGGTATAACAATAGACAATATATTATTGAACAAATGGTATAGAACTAATAGTCTTTGATGGGAAAAGTATGTGAAATATGTGTTATTGATTAACGGGACCTGACGACTTATGAGTCTTTGATCACAGACTCCCTGGCATTTAGCTATAAAGCTTCTTTATACAAAGCAGTTGACAAAACAGTGTCACAACGTTGGCCTCCCTTCACCATGCTTAAGAGTTCAGGTGAGGTTTTGCTGTGATATGCAGTGTTTTGTTTCATTCAGACACATCACTGCATACATTTATAAAAAAGTTCAGCTTTTGTCTCCTCTGTCAGCAGAACATCATCATCTTGTCTCCCTGTGGAATTCAGGATCCAACCCAAAATGTTGGTACTCACCTACTGGGCGTTCCCCGGTCAAGCCCCCCAATATATTATCGACCTTCTGCCACATTATTCCCGCGGGCGTACTTTGAGATCTACTCAATCGCATTTCCTTTCAGTTCCTCGGACCCGATTAATGACCCGTGTGGATTGTGCGGTTCCCTCTACGGCCCCAAGGTTCTGGAGTTTTCTTTCAGAGTTGCTAAGATCTACTCTATCAATTGAAATATTTAAGAAGCGACTCAAAACATTTCTGTTTAAGCAGGCTTTTGTATAACTTTACTGTGGTTTTATTTCTGATTTATGTTGCGTGGATTTCCGTATTTTGCAGTTTTGTATGCAAATTGTTCAGCACTTTGTGACCTTTGTGAAAGGTGTTATATGAATACATTTCTTTTACTTTACTTGTAGTGTTGTGGGACATCCAGCTAGTCTTGAGCAAACTATAGATATGTATGATTTTTTTTTGGAGGGCAGTGATTTCCTCTATGGTAACGTCCCATACAGTATATACCACGGTCTTTTTGAGTTACTCTCGTAGTAAAGTCATGAACACAGACAGTAGCAAGTGCAAGATTAACAAGCTGCTAACTAGGATTCTTTTTCACTTCGCTGATGCAGGTCCAAGGCTTTAGAAATCCTTTCATAACCCTGCCCATTTTTTTGGGTAACAACTCCTCTTTTGAGGTCCTCTGAAATTTCTATTGACCATATTGGCTAAATTGCACTTTGAGCAGAGCTCAGTTGTGAAGAGGCAACCAAAATGGTATATTTTCTAATATTACAGGGCAGAAAGACTCCACGCACAAATTGATTTGAACAGAATTCCAATTACTCTCTTTTCAAGAACTCATTATCCTAGAGGATTTCATACTGTTTCTGTCAATGATCTCGATTGTTTAAATTTGCTCCATAAAGGTTAGGCAATACAAAACGTCCAGCATGCTGTCGCTATTTATTAGTAAGACTTAAATGAAGTTCAACTTCATAGCAACCATTCATGCAGAAATGCAGATAATTCCAAAGGGTTCACAAACTTTTTCCCACAGCTGTATAAGGAGCTGAGAGCTGGGGGATAGGATTTCTTCTACTAGCCTGCCTGTTGGTCTAAGAAGGAATCCATTTCCATAAAGAGAAGGATGAGGTTTACCTTAGTCGTCAGAGAAAGCAATATATACCATCCGAATACTTCAACTGCTAGTGTCTTTGCCAAACTTCCTTGTGTCTAAGTCTGTCGGGCTGTCATCTTCTCTTCTGTTGGGTGAGACTATTTCCTCTCTTTTCATCCTGCGTTACATCTGGGCTATCCAAGACATTGTGGTATGCTAATGGCTAACCCTATACTTACAAACCCTGATTTGTACTTTTCATGACTGCCGGTGAGGGAACACCATATGGACTCGAAAGGTGGAATTAATCCTGCATCAGTCCTTCTGTAACTGTTACCACAAAGGCTGGTGGCAGTATTGCATGTGCAATATTGAGATGTACTGTTGTTCACTTAGATGGCATGCTCACAATATTGAGCCAAAATATTACAGTTCTATATTACAATGAATTTGACATTGTCCTCTGTACAGTATTTTCAGATGGAGTAAGAGTTTTTTTATATTCTTTGCCTTCTTAATTTTTTTAATGTAGTACGTAAATGTATATATGAAATGTCAGTGTTTTTTTCTTTGGTCCTGAACTCAATGGCAAAGTGGCTGTGAAATTTTGAGCAAGTTGAATGTGCAGCTGAACTGTGAACCAGCGTGATCTGATAGTTTGTGTCTGATATATCACCCGATGATGGGATACACTAAAAGTGAACTGCTTTCGGCAGTAAATTTTGAAAGCGATACTCCGCTGTTTACCCAGGTGTCAACACATCCATTTACATGTATATGTACGACCTTGTGATTTTAGTCTCTGCAGAAATGTCTGTGGCTTGTAAATGCTGACTTTGGTGCACGTTGAAGCAGAAGAGGGTGCGGAAGAATGAGTTTGAGCAGGAATGGGAATTACCAATAACATTATCTCTCTGCCAATGTCACCTGCTGCTGTTGCTGTGTTAATCTGAATCTGTCACTTAGTCGTGTCTATATAAGCCATCATGCTGTTTTTGCACATTTGTAAAACTCGACCGATCTGCTAAATATCTGGAAAAACAAGCCTGCTGTTTTATTTCCAGCTCTCAACTTTTGCACTGTTTTTTTTAAATTGAAAGGACTGATTTCATACAATTAAAGTTTGATTTTGTTCAAATCAGATTTACTGCATACTTAAGTGCAGGCACAGCAGACTGTGCATGAATTGAACCGTAAGTGTTGACCAGCTTAATCGTGAAATTCAGTTTAATGGGTTGGTCCTCCTCAAAGTTGTTACAGAAGGCAAAGTCTGGCACTACTACTTGTGGTGTCAAGTGTTACCCATCTGCCAAAGCAAGGCAATCCTAACACAGCAATGCGAGACAGCTGGCCCTTCTCAACCTACTCAAATTTAGAAAGCTTTTGAGAAAACACAATAACTTCATCAAATCTAAGTAATAATTCCTGCAATGAGGACAATTTATTATGAACAATCTATGTTTTTATAGTATACGTGTCTCTGAATAGCTTAATGATTATTGAAAGAGTCATGAGTTTAGTTTGATGTATGGTCACTATTAATTAAAGTGATGTTTTCTGGGTGATTCATGAATATTCACCATGGCTGCTTTTTCCACAGGTGGTAAACACAAACCGCAAAGATGTCTGAGTAAGTGTCCTGTTCGCTTTGCTTTGTGGACATTATGAAATAATGATGCCAATTCAGGGCTTTGGCTTTGTTTTCGGAATCACTGTACAGTTTATTACATTTTCAGTTTTGCTGTCTTTGTTCAATAGCATTTGCATTGACACTATTTTCTGCCAACCTCTTTAGAAAAAAGATGTCATCGACTCGCAGGCATAATCTGAAGGTAAAGAGCTCATCTTACGTCATATTCGGTAGTTATAGAACTGATTTCTGTGATTAAAGGACAAATCGTGAGGATGCAAACCATTTTATCCTTATTTAAAAGTGACTGTCAATGTCCTTGTCTTGTGACTGATCGTGCTTCTGTTCGTGTCTCTTTCGCAGAGCTTAATGCTCTCCATTGCCAAGGGCTTACTGGAAGCTGAGGTAAAGCAGAAGGAAGAGGAGAGAAGAACCTACATGGAAGAAAACTGCCCACCACTATCTCTGCCTGGATCATTGCAAGAGCTGCAGGTACGCTCTGATGCCACAAGGACCACCAGGTTCCGTTGCCATTTCCAGACGGCTCTAACACTGCTGTATCTGTGAGCTTTACATTTATTGAAGTATCAACTAACCTCAGACAAATCAAGATTAGCAGATTTTATGTAGCACTGTTTGTCTACCAATTTGTTGCCACCCAGGAATTTTGCAAAACGCTTCACCAGAAAATTGACAAAGTTGATGAGGAACGATATGACCTGGAAAGCAAAGTGGACAAGAGTTCTAAGGAGGTAAAGGGCTTGTCTTCCCTGATACCTCCATGGTCTTTTTTGTAATAGGTCTTAGTGTCTCAGTACTGTTCTGTTGTGATTCCCCTTCTGGGTTCAGATTGAAGACCTGAGGATTAAAATTCAGGACCTGAAGGGTAAGTTCAAGAAGCCGGCTCTGAGGAAGGTGCGCATGTCCGCCGACGCCATGCTGAAGGCTCTGCTGGGCTCCAAGCACACGGTCAACTTGGACCTGAGGGCCAACCTGAAGCAAGTGAAGAAGGAGGTCAAGGAGGAGGTGAGTGATCTTCTGAAAACAGTAATGCGACACAGGTCTGCAAAGAATGGCAGTGACTGAAACGTACAGGCTGAAGAATGAACTGTTCGCAAATCTGATCTTGCCGATCCTCATTGTTCATGGATTTGACTAGATTGAAACTGAATACAAAAAAAAAAAAATCACAATTTAAATATTTGTCATCAGTCGGTATTCAAACACATCATGCTTACATTATGCTTCATAGGATAAGGACCTGCGTGATGTTGGCGACTGGCGCAAGAACATCGAGGACAAGGCTGGCATGGATGGCAGGAAGAAGATGTTTGAGTCCGCTGAGGCATAAACGTGTTTCTCTTGCCTGGCTTCTGCTGAAATGAGCTGTGAATCTCATGTCAAAGTCGCCCATTGATGTATTTGCTAACCGCTAGCTGTGGTGGGGGGATAGTGGGCAAACAAGGCCAGGGTCTGTCGCCATAGCTGAATGACCATTTTACCAGCCCTGAAGCCCTCACTGCGACTCATTAACACAAATATTGCACACAAACTTGTATAAATAAATGACTTTAAGGAAACTTTTCATACGCTTTATAGCCTTTTCTGTATGCCTTTGCAAGCATTTCTTACTTTGCAGGTTCTTGTGGATGGGAATATGCACATATAATTGTTTTAATGTGAGTGAAAATGAGCTAGTTTAGGAGTAATCTTAAAACACAAGTAACATTCAGAAGTACATTAATTACCGATACGACTCATAAGTATTTTTTAATTAAAATGTAAATATCATGGACCCAGCTGCTATTAATATATTAATAGGTACTATTAATAAATACTGTGTACACAGTTATGTTCATTTGTCATTCTCGTGGCTGATGATAGTTAGATCAGAATCTGAATTTCTGTTTTTAGTATTTGAGGTAAATGCTGTAATGCTCCCTGGGATGTTATTCATGCAAATACTGTGGTATTAAATAACACAATCTATTTTAAAATACGGTTTTAACAATTTTAAAAATAGTTATTAAAACACTTCACATATGAAATAAATTTAGACACTGGCCTTTAGGTCTGGCAAAAAATTCTGGAAGCTCAGTTTTGCAGTTACCTGAATGTCATGACATTTCACTAGATGCTGGTTATCTCAGTGTGTCAGCTGTTTTTCGTTTGTTGCTTTCATTTGTTTATAATTTGTCTATTTGTATGTATCGGTCCTCAGGAGTGATGGCCAGAGTTACAACTGACACAGCTTGTGTGACTCAAGGTCTAATTAGTGTCATTTTTAACAATTAGACCAGATTTAATCTTGAGGAGTCTCTTAAGGGTTTTCCCTGTTTACTTTTCCCTACATCATCTCTCTCTCTACCCCTTTTTCAAAACACTGCCTGTCATAGAGTATGTTCTTTACTCTGAGTTTTCCCTGGAAGAGGAACTTTTCATTTATTGCTGTTGCCAAGGAAACAGCAGGTGTGTGAATGAAAAGCGGTGTCTCCGTCATTCACGATCTGACCAATGAGAACCCACCTCCCAGGCTTCAGTCAGGTAGGTCTAAGAAATCCTTTTGTTTCTTTAGATATCAGAATTAAGAGTGACATCATACCTGCCTCAGTGCTGTTTTGAATTTGAATTATATGTATAATGTCATAGTGAAATTTATATGTGGATATTTATCAATCGTGTTCAATTAATGTGTTTGTAAAGTAGATATTATCGATGAGTGATGTTTCTGAAGTATAAAGTAAGTAAACGTATTTTAAATGAATTTACATTGTAACTCATTAAAGATTTTATTGCGGATTTTACTGGGTAGCAGTGTTTATGAAATAAGACAATGAGATGACATACTTGAAGGACAGTTTATTTATATTGGATGAATGTGAGGGAGTGGATGGATGTAGTGCTGTATTTCTTGACCTTGTTAGCCCATTGGTCTGGGGGTAATCCTCTGCCATAAACAGAAAGATGGGGATTTGAAGTGCTCTGGCAGAATGCAATAAATACCATCCCTACATTTCAGCTCTCGGCCGCTTTTCTCTCCATCGCTGCCACACGCTTTTCCTGCTCTGCTCTTCTCCTCACAGGTAAGAACCATCCCATCTCTCTTTCCGGCTGTACTCTACTCATCTCCACACCGGGCTGCTTATATCGCCGTCAGTAAACGGTTTTACTTTTGTGCTAGAAGTGCCAAGCTTTGTGCTCTCCATAGGCAATTTGTCGTATACTGTATGTTGTATTGCTGTATAAAGTTTTTTTTTTCTCTTCATAAATTAAGAGCTGTAAAACAGCAAATGCTAAGCATGCTAAATTTTAAAGTATAATTAAATTAAAATGAATTCTTATAAAACCAGTGACTTTTTCAGCTCAGGTGATTTTAATTTTAGGACGATCATACAGAACATTGGGGTAAAACAAAGAGTAAATTCGGAGAAAAAAAATACAAAAAGTTGTCATTCGCAGATAATGGGGCTTGAATTATGGCCTGACGATGTGTTATGCTATAATTGAGAGAGCCAGAAGCAGTAAATTTGAAAGTGATCTTCAAATGTTATCCTTGCTGTCAACAGAATGTTGGACTCAAATAATGTCAGTTAAGTCAAAGTCTTCCTCATGCCTATATCTGCGTTTCTGAATTTTCTGCATTCTGACCCTGAACAACAAGGACATTGCTGAAGCTCTGTACTGTTACCCTCCAGCAAAACGGAGGGAAAATCCGCGTCAGGCAAAGGTCACATTGGTGCATTTCTAATCGTGCTTGACATTTGAGCCAGCTGTCAAATTACTCCTCAAGTACTGATGAGACATAACGAGCCCAACAAGTGTTCCTCGGTACAATTAACGACAAAAAATTGGGAGGACGAGCTGTCAGCTTGCTGTCGCCTTCGCTCTTTAAAGTTTCTATTAATTGGCCTTTAACATGCCGCTGTCTTGTGCACTTGACACTTTCTCAAGCCGAGAAGTAAAAAAAGAAACAACTTCTGCTACTACAAGCTAATATCCACAGATGAGTTGATTTAGCCAGGATAAGTGAAAAGCTAAGGTGCCGTTTTGTATGTAATGCACAGCAAATTAAAGATACCAACAAATCTGTATCCATGGTAAAAATAGTAAAAACCTTAAACCCTCAAAAGTCTCCAGAATGTTAGGATTACTTTGCCTTTCAAAATGATCTTGTCCTCTATTCAGAATCTATGAAAAAGTCAGCAATTTTACTTTTAACCTTCTGACATCACCATCTCACACAGAAGTCATATATGTTAAAGTGTTTTGTAAATGTAAACTTTTTCAGGTTTAGTTTAATTCCTTGTTCTTGCTATGCTTTGGGCTAGTTTAGACCAACCAGCTAAACACTGTATTAATAAGAAAGAGGGAACCTCTGGTTGTAATAGTAGGACTAATTGTGTCTTAATAGAACCTAAAATGACAAAAAAAATAAATGAGAAAGCTTTTGTAATATATTGCTGTATGAAGCCTAACATTCCAGTGTGAAGTTGGTTAATAAGAAAAGACTAAAGATGATCTTAAATTATATTCATATAAAGCCAAGTGCTGAGTGGTAGGAGCTCCATGAATATGGAGAGTTAAAGATCTTGTTAGTTTGTATTTGATTAGGCTCCAGCGAGATGTAATTTGGAACAGTAGTTATTTCTGAGATGTGTTGTAATGTCTCGGCACTCTCAAGGAAGGCCTTCCTCTTAAGGAAAGCACTGGCAACATCACATGCAGTGTCAGATTTTAATGACTTGTCCCGGAGACAAGCCTATCATAACAGAGTGACCGAACAGGAGATCTTGCCATCCCCAAATTTAGAAACCTTTTGCTTGCCTCTGGATTTGCTGATCACTGCACATGCTATCCAAATTGTATCACGGATTAGGTCTTGTTCAGATCATGTTCCTGCTTATCACATGAATTTACTATTAATTACCCATTTATTTACATATCATCTGTTGTTTTTTTCTCATCTATGCATTGTATGTGCGATCTAAAGAATAAACCTAATTTCATAATGATACAGAAATCGTCACATTCCATATTTATGATTAAACGTTTCATCAAAAGCTCAGATATTTACTCATGAAAATGTATCCAGTTGTTTGATAGTATATTTTGATCATTTTCATTTCATTTCCCAGCTTGTGAAGCATACAGGCTACCAAAATGACAGAGTAAGTGTTTTGTGATTGTGGGATTGAAGAGTTTTGTTTATTAATCTATTGTATGCTCTAATACGGTACTGAAAATGACACCCATTGTGTTTTTCCTCTGAAATCACTTATTTGTGTTTTTCCTCTGAAATCACTCATTGATAATGTCAGGATGCAGGCATGAAAACTGGCAGCAACTGCTTGCTATACTTTCATTCCTGTCATGGTGTTGCACCTTCTAATAAAACGGATATCTTGCTATGCATCTGACGTAGGAAACAGTGGTTGTTTCTGAAGTGATAACATTGACTTTTCTTTTCAACGAATAGAAAAAAAATGTCAGCAAGCCGTAAGCACACCATAAAGGTAAAGAGACTTGCTTGATTTTATCACCAGATTGAGACTACTGTGATTAGGTATTGGTACTAATAGGACTTTTGTTAACGCAATGTCTACCAGAGCATGATGCTTCAGCTTGCTAAGACTTTACTCGACCAAGAAGCGACTGAAAAGGCAGAAGAGAGAAAGAGGTACTTGGAGGAGAAATGTCCTCCCTTGCACCTTCCTAATTCTCTGCAAGGGTTACAGGTAGGACACCAAGACTCAGGCCGAAATATAATTAGTGATTATGTTCTCTATTTCAGATGTTTACAAATCAATTACTCGTCATTTGATGCAAGATATATGTAGGTGAAATGGCCAACACTGAGTGTTCTAGCACCCTAGGCAAGATTGCTAAGCTCCCTTCAGAGCAGCAGAAAACAAATTCTGTCAATTCATTTGTATTAAAAACATTTCAGTAACACTGGGTATCTGGTTGCAAACTAGCTAGCTCGCTTCTGTTTCACAAGAAAAGTAACGGAATCTTAAAACTAGTGTAAATAACAGTAACATCACGGAATGCAACTTAGATAGCCAGGGACATAACTGGTACGCAAGTACCGGTACGCATTCACCTTTAAAAACGATACATGCCACAATCGATTGTTTGTACAAGTGCAAATGTGTACTTCATTTATGTGCATTTATGCTTCTATGACAAGAAAATACCTTGCATTTTAACCTGTATGCGGCAAATGAAGTAAAATTAGTATATAAAGATTAAAATGCATTATATTTTGTTTTAATATCAGCGCAAATGCTCATATAATAAGTACGCATTTATATTGTTACATCATTGTAGCTATTCTTTCACACAGTGTGTTGTGCTGATTTCTTATTAGGAACTATGCATGGAATTTAACGAGAAAATCGATGTGATTGAAGAAGAACGATACGACTTAGAGAGAAAAGTAGCACTGGTCTGCACGGAGGTATACCCACATTCATTCGTTAATCGCATTTACTTTTCCTGGACAGCTTGGTGTTCCAAATGTCCATCTTCCTCCTGATTTCGCAGGTGGCTGACATGAAAATTAAAATCATTGACCTGAAGGGTAAGTTCAAGATACCAGCTCTGAAGAAGGTGCGAATGTCTGCCGATGCCATGCTCCAGGCCCTGCTGGGCTCCAAGCACAAGGTGACCTTAGATCTGAGATCCAACCTGAAGCAAGTGAAGAAGGAGGCCAAGGAAGACGTGAGTGATCCTTGAAGCTACAGCAAACTTGTTACAGCACTTGTTTTTATTTTTCGCAGAGAATGTGCAACTACACAGTCAGAAAAGTACTAGTTTGTACCTTTTGAGGGTACAATTACTTCTCACTGGAGCCAATTGTACCCGAGTTGTAGACAGACATACCTTTTAAGGTACAAAAATGGACTCTGAGTAACATTTTTGTACCATTGGAGTTTATGGGCAATTTCTCTCTGTTATGTGTTATACCCAAATCTAGTAAAAGTAACCATAGAAGGATGGTTCCTGAAATTAATCTGTCAATGTCCTCGAATTCTCCACATTTCTCATCCTCACCCCTAAAGAATAAGGACCTGCGTGATGTGGGTGATTGGCGCAAGAACATTGAGGACAAGGCCGGAATGGGCGGCAGGAAGAAGATGTTTGAGGCTGAGTCATAAAACTGGTCACCCTGGCTAAATCACCTGGAAGGACTGGGATTATTCTCCATGCTGTCAGGCAGAAACTGCTCCTCTTTTTGCTTCATAGTCTGCATTGCTATTCAACTTGCTTTATTGACCTAATTATTATTGTCAGTAATCTTTAGCATGGCACGCCAACTCACTGTAACATCTATGATCTATGTACGTTATGCCAAACTGCAGAATTTACAACTATTAAGTAAAAGTGTTCTTTCTTTATAAACTTATTATACACACACAGATGAGAAATAAATGATTTGAGGAAAAAACTCATTTCAAGCTTTTCTGACTGTTATGCTCCACACAAACAGTGTCAATTTAAGTGGCCATAATTCATTGGTTCAACAAAAGAAATGCCTATGCTGTATGCAATATGAATGAATTAAAATGTGCACATTCATTGTTGTTATAAATTAAAGTTGAGGTGCTTGTGTGCTGGGAAAGGCCTGGCATTTCAACTTAATCATCTCTCAAGTGTTAAACTAATTATTATCACTTACAACAATAATAGTAGCAATAATATTAGGTATTAGGTGTAGGCATCATTTTGAAGCTCAACTTTAGAAAGGAAATTACATTCAGAATTTTTGGATTTCATGGAAATATCCATCTGAAATGTTACATTATATTATTTCCTAAACTACTGAATATAGTGTAATGCAAATATTTCATTGATTTTTTCTTGTGAAACTGACTTTCCGGCTGAGAATTTTTAACGGATCTAAATGTTTTTAGTATTATTATTTTCCCAAAGCACAAGCAGCCTAAAAGAAGTGCAGAACAAGTGAAAAAAGACAGAGGTGAGTGACCTTCAAAACAAGTCGGCTTTTACAGTCAGCAGTGTTAATGTCATTCTTTGCCTCTTGAGAATAACTACATTGTTTTATTAGCAACTTCTATGTTTATAACATAAAAAAAATCTTTATTTATATATTATTTATTTATTTTTATATATTATGCAGCTATACTATACATGTTGTCTTTTTTTTTTTTTAATCTTAATCTTGTATTGCCAGTAAAGTGCAGTAGGGGGCAGTGCTACTACAATTTGGAATTAAACATATCAGATATTTTTTCCAAATGTGTTTTATTGCTACTTTGTATGTATGCAAGCTCAACAGGAAAATATGTCCAGCACGAACTTACGAAATTTTCCAGATTGTTGAAGCAGTTGTGTTTTTCCATGGTGTTTGATGCTATAGCAAATTTGTGAAAGGTGATTTAACTGCATTTTTACGAATGTACCTTTAAGACAGTATATTAGCTGTAATTTGTTGTAATTATGTTTATGCAATGTCTACAGTGGTTGCCACTTGGGGAGTGGTACTATACAGAAGTAGAAACAGATATTGTTCATTTTTCTTTTTTTAAATGCGCTGATGATGTCTGACTGGCAAGCTGCTTTGCAGTGTTCGCTGCTGTCTTGACACCAGTGGAATGTCACTGGATCTCCCTGCAGAAGTATCTAGGACTCATCACCAGGCAGAAATCCAGCCAACCAAAGTGACCTCCACCCTTTAAATGCGTCTTATATTACACTCAGACCTTAAGCTGATGCTTATCATGGATACTCAATGCAAGGAATACTATCTTTATTAATTTAAGAATTGATTTACAAGTGATGTTTGAAATACACTTGACTGTGATTCATGATTAAATGTTTTCCATAATGACTAAGAATAACTGACCTTCCTCATCTAATGTAGCTCTTTAATTAAACATTTTATGTATAAATAAATATAGATAAATACATATATGTTAGACTCCAACTAAGTAATTTTGGTTTCAGAGCTATATTATAATATTATTTTATTACCCAGTTTAAATTTGAATTTTTCTGGTAGCAGCTGTTTAATTCTTTACCCAGAGTGTGGAGCTAAAAAGCAGATATCATATTTGAGTCAGATCTGACAGTTTTCACCTTTTGGGACCCATTTTTGTAGAGATGAATCGGTAAATTGTATAGGACTGTCCTCCTAGACTTTACAACTGAAGGTTCATTTATACACCAAATAATTCAAAGACACCTTTCATTTTCATTATAGTGTTTTGATAGCATTTAGCTCTATCCAGATTAATGTCAAACTTTTATATTAATGACTGACAAATGTTTCTTGTTGTGCTTAAAGTCTTTTCATCTGAGGTCAAAATTTATCATGTTAGAAATCTTTCTGCTTCAGATATAATGTTTGTTCCAGGGAAGATACAGCTTATTATCATCATCCATGTATGCTTTTATTCACTAGTAATATACAGTTCTCTTTGGTTTCATTATTTAACAAGAAAAATATGTTATTGAGCTGTAAGCATCACTTGACACTAGCATGTTTCCGACACTTAAAAGGTTGCATTTTTCAGTCAAGGGACATGAGAGGATACATATAAAAATATGAAAATATAGACTTTGTTAAAGATTATGAAAAACTGCTTACCGATTTCAATTTCATGATTCAGAATAGCTGTTGGTACATCTAGATGTACCTTTCTCTCCTGTAACAACTTCCTGTTCTACAACAACTTCCTGTCCGGCAGGACCTGATGCCCCCCTCCCTTTGCTGACGGCGGAGAGAGCCAATCTGAAGTGTACTGGATGAAGTTTATGGAAGAAAACTGCCCCCACTGTCCCTACCAGGACCTATGGAATAACTGCAGGTATGTTATCAGACATTGACACAGAATACACATGTGAGTAGCCCTGCCTTGTTACCTAAGCAGCCAGGAAACAAGCTTACTGCCAGAGCTTCCTAAGCTCTTTCCTCCATTTGGCCCTATACTAGATGGATGGAATCTGTACTTGCACTCATGTAAAACAAATGTAAAACGCATCAGTTTTTATCTGCGTAGTAAGTGGACTTTTGCTCAGAATTTAGCATTAGAAGATATGCAAATTAGGAGTAGCATAATAAAATTAGTAAGAGCTGCTTCTGTTCACCAAAAAGTTCCTGATACCTAGTTGGACGGCTAGATGAACATCGCTTCAGTTCCCAAACCTCTCCTCAGGGGCACCTCAGCCATTGCATGTATTTATTAAATTTCACCACCAGCTCACCAAATTAATTAATTAGTCAAAAAAGTCAATGATGTATTGATTAGCTATACGAGGTGTGCTAGTGGTCGAGTCAAAAAATACATGGGTGGCCAGAATGGTTGCTGCAAACACTGGGGTGATTTTAGCAGAGGCTTTGGAATGGCTAAGCTGACAGGCATCATGTCATAGTTCTACATCAACATGAAGTTGATTCAAACATCATTTCCTTTCACTGCACTTTGCACATGCCTGTCACATGACAATATTAACCATTTATAAAATTCTAAGCATCTCTCATTCTGGGAGCTAAGAGAAATGCTCAGATTGATGGAGGGAGACAGGACTTGGCCAGCAAAGTGGAAAAGGGTACAATCACTTTGGCACATTTCCTATGCAAAGCATGAAGAGATCAGTGTGTCATTTTTATATGACAGGCAGAGAGATAGACAGACAGGCAGAGAGATAGACAGACAGACAGAGAGATAGACATCCATCCATTTTCTATACCTGCTGGTTTTAAGCAGGGTTTGGGGCCTATCCTGGAAGCTACCTGTGCAGGGCAGGGAATAACCCAGGATGGGGTGTCAACCTATTTCTGGGCACACACACACACACACACACACACACACCACACCACACTCATGCACACACCTGCACACCTATGGGCAATTTGGTAACTCCAGTTCAGCTTAGCATGTTTTTGGACTGTGGAAGGAAACTGAAGAACATGGAGAAAACCCCACAATAGAGGTGCATGATATCACACCGGCGTTTCTTTATGTTTAATGAACGTGTCGGATTTTAAACTGCAAAAAGTACCTCCACAACACTGCCGTCTTTCTTACCTTGATTATCCAAAATATCTTTTTAAAAGATGTTCTGGCTGCTGAAATGCCCCTTTCTTCACCGCCCCTTCATTGCTTATCAGTTCCACTAATATACCATGTGGCGTAGCCTACGTGCTCCACTACCTGCGTTTAATAAATATAAGCATACCCCGAATTTATACCGATTAATAACTCCTGGGCATCACAATGCGCCTCTGATTAATACAGGGTTACCAACTTTGGTCAGCTGGGTGGAGTGAGATTTTGAATTCGAGATCAGTCTACACAAACATTTACATGTATGTACGAGTATTATTACCTTGTAAATAATCTGTACGGTTTGCAAACTTCCCCAAGACTTTTGATGTAGCTAATTTTAGGTTTACAATGGAATAATACAGATTTGCCGGAAGATTTCTTGCGTGAGAGTGAGAGTCTGAAGGTGTGAGTGTCACGCCAGATGTGCGAGAGTTGGCAGCCCTGTCATTATTTTAGGCGCACTAGTGATCAGTTTAAAAAATTGCGGGTGTAAGTAAACATCTGTATATTACCGAAAAGCTGGCATCCGGACAAATGTTTACACCCATCATCTGATGTCCTGGTGGTTATTGTGGATGCGCCATGTAATGATATACTGTATCACGTAGCTGTAGCCCTACAATAAAATGACGCAAGGAGAACGTGTGAAGCGGCACCAACTATACAGGGAAACAGGCGAGCGGACGGACAGGCGGGCAGGCAGGCACACTCTTTATTGAAAAACATGCACGAATAAGGTTCTGCAAAAATAAATAAATAGAATAACAAAGGATGTACATAGTTAGGTGATCATGTGGTATCATCTGTCTTTAAATGCTGCATGACGAGTTATGGTTGGGAGACACCAGGCGCAAACGATCCCCAGCCGTACTTCCTACAACCACATGGTGGAATGAGAAGTTATTGATACTGCCACTAGATGGTGCAATTTCTCCAAAAATAACAGTTTTCTTTAACATCAAAAAGAATAAGGATAAAACTGGGCACAGGAATTCCCCTTTAAATCCAAATATTTTCGCTGCTGTAGATTATATTTATATTTTAATACTTAACAATATTCTTATTTTTTATTTGTTCTTTGGTGTTATCATGGATGTGTTACGCTATTGCATAATATATTTTAGTATTTTAGTATTTACCGATTGTTTTAGACTTCAGTTTTTATTTAAGATTAAGATTAAATTTAATATTTGAGAATCTAAAGTTATTTTTTTGGATGACTGGAATTTTCTAGCACAAATAAATCGTTCACAAATTGATTTTATTATTAGTAATGTAAAGTGAATGAAATGTTTAAGTAAGATCTAAGATGCATATGCTGTTGATGTACCACCAGATAAGTACATTTTCAAAAATAAAATATAAAATAAAATTCATATTTTGTACTTAAGTACATTTTTGAAACCGCTACTGACATTTCCAACCATAATTTACATGTCTGGCATTCCTCACATTTCTAATTTTACGTATTTTTCACGTTTTCTAATAAATTAGAACCTTTAGTGTATATATGTATAAACATTACAATATGAGCATTGTAGTACAAGACAAGCAGTGGTGCAACACAAGACAAACAGAGATGCAATACAAGACAAGCAGTAGTGCAATACACAACAAACAGTGTAGATAACAGTAAACAAATAAGCAATACATAGTGCAGTATGAGGATAAGGGTGTGCAAATTGACAACAATAGAGTAAATAATATTGATAAAGTGTGAGTAATATGTTAAAAATAGTGTGCAGTGTATGCAGTGGATGGACGGGTGCAGGTCACTGGCTGTTAAGCAACGTGATGACTTGAGGAAAGACACGGTGCTGGTGGTGACACACCGCTGTTCAGAACTCTAATTCTTGTATTCCCTGGACAGGAAATGCATACAGTTTTGAGACTGCTCTTGAGACACTTTCTCATAAGCATAACTCAAAAAGCATTTTGATCTTTTTCAAACTTTGCAGATACACTGTATGGCTGAAGGTCTGAAATTGATCAAATTTTGAAACAGATTGCACCAAACTTGAAGCAACACCATTTAGTGGCAGCAAAGGGAAAGGACATGATAACTCAAAATGTATTTGCTGGGTGTTATTGCCACTTCACAAAAACATTATATGCAAGAAGATCTACAGCTGATTTTATTTTCACCAAAATTGAATAATCAGCACTATGTGGCACTAAAGGAAGGAAAGAGTAGCTAAAGATGACATGATCTTGTGAATACTGTATCTCTAAAAGTATTTTATTGATGTTTTTTTTTTAACTTTCCAGGAACATTGTATATCTGAGGCATATTTCATTTTCATACATATCGCACCAAAATTGAAACTGTGAATTAGTGGTGGCACATGAACGGACCAATGCAGATCTGTTGAATCTGATTACATTGAGACAAATCACATAGAGATGGGCTTTTAATAAAGATTTTTTTGGAGATGGGGAGAGTGTGTAAGGGACTAGAGATTCTGGAGGTTGGGGTGTGTGGGAGGAGCAGGGATTGAATGAGGTGGAAGGAGTGATGGGGCTGTTGTCATTCCAGGAGCATTTAGTTTATTATTATTATTATTATTATTATTATTATTGTTGCTTTTGTTGTTATTCAGTAGGGAATCCTCACAATTTCATATGTCCTCTTCTTGACCCAGCATACACTTTACTTGACCCACATCCTTTTAAAATTCAAAACTATTTGAAAATATCGTTTGTGTGTTTTTAAAAAATCATCTTCAAAATCGTTTGAGTTGAATTGAAAAAAAATGTTTGCTGTTTTGTATAAATATATTACATGTATCTAAATATTTCATCTCCAAAAAAAATCATACAAGTTCAATAATCCAAGTTAAAAATAGCCACTCTAATTAATTTATGCATTGTTTTCAAAGTAAGCCAGAAGGTGTATCGATGGATTATTTTTAGTTGGTTATTTATAATTTTGAAGCCGCGAGAGATCAGATATGTCTGGATCAAATGGCCTTCTAGCCTACTTCCTTAATGAGAAATCCTCATTGGTCTAAGCAGATACGTTGGGCATATATACCCCGCGATAGTGGCAGGATCCTGTGGCTGGCTGGTCTCCCTCGCCCATACAGCAGGTCCGTCCTTCTTCTCTTCGCATAGGTGAGAACCGCTCCTCTCCTTTCGAATCTGTACTCGGCTGCCTTTCCTGCCACAGCAGGTTTACCTGTTTAGCTTCCTCAGTGCCTCACAGGCCTGGCACGCTAAATCACGCCCTTAGATGTTAAGTGAGAATCCCTCCATCCATCCACAATGGAGGCTTTACAGCACCCACATTAGCACGTCTCGTGAGGGTGACCGCTGTGGTAAAAAGTTGAACGGAAACCCGTGGAACACAATTGAACACAAATAAAAAATAATAAGATACAGTGCCGTTACGCTGTCCTGCAGTGCATTTCCTGGTACATTTCTATAGATATCAGTTTTAACAGAATGTTTAGGTGATTCATTGCAACCCATACTGGATATTTAGTTATGCAAGATAGACGGATGCCTGGGTGGCACAGGTAAACCAACGAGCGGGAACTCGTGCAGTTAAATGTCCCTTTCTTTCGTAACATTAAGATTTCTCTATAAATATTTTTTTAGTAATTTGCAACATAGAGAATAGCATTAGCTGTTAATTTTGACAGTTCCGTTTTCATCTCTTTTTAAAATGAAATAAAGACGCGTATAACACCATTATCTTAGTTGTATCGCAGATCAACAGAATCGATAGTGTATTGCCCAAAATCAAGAAAAATACGTCGTTTTACTATTTTACTAATAACATCCTCATTTGCTTTATTTGTTGGCTCTCTGTTTTGCATCTAGTATTTGATGCACACGCAAACTAACTGCTTGTATTATTACTCGATCCTATGAATTGCGATTTTTTTGGTTAATTAATTATTAAGGATGTCTGGTTTTTTAAAAACTCACGAGTTTTTGAAGCGTGCCAAACGTCTCGCTCCGGTTTTGGTGTTTAGTGCGATGGCTGTATTTTTTGCAGCGCAAAAACTGGGGGGCGGGGTGTCAAGTGCCGAAAAGCTGGGTCATTGAATTCATAACGGGTCTGCTTAGCTCAACAACATAGCAAAATTAAGACATTGTGATTACGCTGGTATTTATCCTCTAAAACTGAGAGCAAAAAGGAATATTTCGGAATCGGAATAAACAGAGACATATTTGCACACCACGAAGAAACTGTGCGTTTTCTTATCTGGTAGGTGATTATAATAATTACACCGCTAAACGCAGCTATGAAAACTGTCTCTTTCTATGTGTTTGAATTTGATAAGATCTGGGGAACTTTACGTCATTGTAAATTAGGGGTGCAACGTTACAAAAAAGTCTAGGTTCAGTACAAACCTTGGTTTTGGGTTCACGGTTCGGTGTAATTTCGGCAGCCTACTGCAGGGAAAATTGTTTTTAAATTGTTTATTAATAAACACAATTAAGAACAGTTATAAACCACACAAAAAGACAATGTAGCTGTTGATGTGTCTGAATAACAAAACCTGAGATGCTTATTTGCACATTGCAAAATAATGAAAAATAAAACAGAAATTAACATCTACTTGTAAATTCAGGTTACGCCTGTACCAGTAATAAATGTATTCCTTGCTTGAATTGTACGTTCCCGAAACGAAAGTTATGTAACTGAACGGTACACGACGAATACGTGCACCGGTAACAATATGAAACTTTGCAATAGGAAATTGAATTGAATTAAAGAATGATTGAAATAAGTATAGGCTATATACACAAAGGAAATATATAAACTTTAATTAAAGTTTGAGCATAACTTTGCGAAAACATGTAAAGATTTAAAAGTTTATTTTTTGAAAGAACTAGTGTTAAATATAGTCATACGACCCTAAAAGTCTTGTTCAGAAAGGGAGATCTCTCAGATAAGGGGAAAAAATAAGACCGTTGTGAATATCTCTTTACAGGGTGTGACCAAACAAGCAGCCAAGATGTCTGAGTAAGTATCAAATTTGTCCTATTCATCACGAAGTTCATCTTCGGAATTTCGATGGATGCCATGACTGTTATAGCCAGCAAGGGGCGCTGTCATAAAGCTAAGCTAGGATATAGCAATAATTGAGAAAACAATGAAGACGACTTTAAGTTAGCTGAACACCCTTCCTCTTCACCCTGATCTGCTTTAGCTGGTTTTGTACTTTTCTTTTTCTCGGTTTTTATATTTCACAAGTACATTTTGTGTAGTCAGTGCAATTTGTATAAAAAGTGCAGTTTTGTATATTTTGTAATATATTCTTTTATCACTCTTATGCCTCACATTGAGTCGCCTGCATTTTCACAATTTCGTTGTCAAGTGACAACAACAATAAAGATTCTTATTCTTACGTGGGATATGTGTTGGTTTTTTAATCACTCCTAAAAGCATTAAGTGGACTGAGCTCTAACAATCATTCCTGGTCAGGACACAGTCTAAAGTTGCATTTTTATGAAACACTTCTCAGATGTGTATCATGAAAAGTGTATTTCATTGTTATTAACTAAACAACTATATTCTGCATTAATCCCTCAGGAAAAAGATGTCCTCCACCCGAAAGCACAATCTCAAGGTAACCTGTCCCGTTTCAGAAATGCGGTTAATGATTTTGGCAATCTGTCAGGTTTTTTAAATATATTTAAGATGTCAAATATAATCTTAGGGCTGCATACAGATTTTATGCTTCCATGGCTTTTTATTGACATGTAACGTTGTTCTTGGCCTGCAGAGCTTGATGCTCTCGATTGCTAAGAATTTGCTGCAGACTGAGAAAACACAGATTGAAGCAGACAAGATCAAGTATATGGATGAAAACTGCCCCGCACTCTCCATGCCTGGATCTGTGCAAGACCTGCAGGTATGATACCAGACACTGACATCAGGTCAACAGAATACACATCTTAATATATTAACAGGTAAGAATTAATATTTCACTCCTGTAAGACACAGGTACAACACATCCCTTCAATAGTGATGTAGTGATGTGAGCATATATGACAGTCACATGCTTGTGTTTACCATATAAAAAAAAAACTCTGGATACATTTCTTTTCAGGAGCTGTGCAAAAAGCTCCACCATCAGATCGATAAGGTGGATGAGGATAGATACGACTTAGCAGCCAAAGTGGAGAAGGGCAATAAGGAGGTAAAGTCACTTTCTGATGCAGAAGATATTGTGAATTTTGTGAATTTGCAGGTCTGAGAAGCTCATTGATGCCTTGTGCTTTGTTTTCTCTATTGACTCTGACCAGATTGAAGACCTAAAGATTAACGTACAGGACCTGAAGGGCAAGTTCAAGAAGCCGGCCCTGAAGAAGGTGCGCATGTCCGCCGACGCCATGCTGAAGGCTCTGCTGGGCTCCAAGCACACGGTCAACATGGACCTGAGGGCCAACCTGAAGCAAGTGAAGAAGGAGGTCAAGGAGGAGGTGAGTATTAGTTATACAAAGCTTCTCTGTGTTTCCCAAGCATTTTCAGTAGTCATAACATCAACACTCTGGCTTTCCCTGTTTAATAAACTATATTTGGATACTTGGACATTTTTGGTCCTGAATTCCCTACACTCCCTGAAAATGTGCTCCCACAGGAGAAGGAAGCGGTTGGAGATTGGCGCAAGAACATTGAGGACAAGGCCGGCATGGACGGCAGGAAGAAGATGTTTGAGTCTGAGGCTTAAATGGTTTTATCATCTCTGGCCTGATTGTTTCCAATAGGTTTTCCGTCTGGCTACATAAAGCTCTCAAACTGAACTCTCTTATTGTCTGTGACCTTTTTCTCCGTTGGATGTAGAGGAGCGGGGAGGGTCAGTGGTGGAAGTTGGCAACTATTGTGACTCTGCAGGTTCTCTGGTCCTTAACTCCTTATGGCCTCAGGTTGTAGAGAGGAATTTGTGGGAAGCAGTTTTATAATGTATTTCCTGAGGTATTTCAACTCTAGACTTAATAAAAGGTTTTACTGCAAGGCTTTGAGTTGTCTGTCATATGCATTACCAAAAGTACCACTACCAGGCGTAATCTGAGAGGTTCCGAAATGTATATTTAGCAAATCTGAACATTAATGTAACTTTGCATGCATAAAAGAGTTTCATAATGAAATAACATCACTGTATTATTTTGGCATGCTGTTGATGAGTATTTCATGGTTTTCTGAATGCATCTAACAGTGCTTTTCCAACAAATGAGTTTCTGGAAGCCTGAGGGCATTGAAGGAGGGCCGTCCTTTAGCAGGAGTGACAGAGGACGACTTGCTAGGCACGTTAGACCACAAGAGATGGCTGGTGCGTGTCACGTGCTGTCCCAGACCTCTTTTTTTGCAATGGGGGAAGGCAGTAAAAGGTAATGTCCAAATTTAATTCACAGGTTTTTATTTACCGTAGTGGAAACCTGGTGAAGCCATCCTTCCTGAATCCGGTGCCCTAAATCTGCTCCTGAAATTCAAGTGTGGAGACACCATTCAAGTGTTCATTTTCTTTTTTATCTTACTAACACATTTTTAATGTTTAAATTAATATAATATTGATAAGCTGTTAATTATGGATAAAACAGGATTAATCCATGATTAATCAATTCATTTGATGATGCACTTTTATGATATCATTCATAATTCATAGTTGGAATGCCATTTAAATGTTATTTTTCCTTTCTTGTAATTTTCCTAACATTTAATGTTTAACATTTAAACATTTAAATCAAAATGATATGATGATAGAATGTATCTTTTTGTAATGGCAGTGTAATGCGTTATTTATACTGGTTAAAATTTAAAATCACCTTAAAATCAACACAATATTCATTTATTAACAAGTGCATTTGTTAACTTGCAGCTTGATGTTTTATACACCAGTGATTCTCAACCTCTTTTGCACAGCGACCCAATGTTTACCATGCGGGCTTCGCGAATTAACGCTGTGATCAAGAGCGCAGGGCGCTCTGCAATATACGCCAATCAATGCCTATCGCACAAATCTGATTGGATGTGCCAATGAATTTTAAATTAAGCATCTGTGGTTTGGCTTCTTGGATTGATTGAGTGTTCTCTAGTTTTGCGCTATGCATTGGCAGAAGAAGATCCGTTTATATGGGTTAATTCTAGGATTGGGGCTGGGAAATCTGATCCTGGATCCGCATAGGAGTTTGTTGATTTTAAAATGCTTCCATTTCCTACTCTGCCTCGCGTCCCTTTCAGAACTTGCCGAGACCCACATTTAGGTCGCGAAACTGAGGACTGAGAATCGCTGTTATGCAGCATACAGTGTGATGCAATAAAAGGTCGAGTTCCACATATCATGTAATTACTCGCATGTTCTGCTTTACTGCTGTTTTGCTCCGCTGGTGGAATGCTATTAATACCACAGGCGACTATATCATTTTAAGTGGCACCCACTAGACTAGATGTTAATGGTTATTCATTTACGCGAAAGGAAAACTAATTTGTTCAGTCATTGTTATAAACACTCAGGGCAATTATTTTGTGCATTCGTATGTTTCCCGGCTGTTTGAACTTGGTCTTGTTTATATATTTTTATTAGAACTTTTAATTTTAGTTTTGCTGCCTAAATATATTTCTAGGGTATAGTTCGGTTGACTCTATAGCACATTCCATTGGTAAATTTATCAGAAAATATTGAAAATGTCTCCTCAGAAAGCATGTTATTATATTAGTGTCCTTTTGGCAAAAGTATCTGGTAAAAAACGGGACAAAGCCAGCACCTTGAATTGCAATTCAACAAAACTAGCATTTGGGCCACGCTAATTTAAATCGCTGCTCGATGATGTCATAAGCTAAATGCATTATGTCAGTCCTCGAAACGTGGATATTTATTACATTTTCTAAAAGATTACTAAACTATCATATCGTACAACAGAAGTTCTTTGGGGATATATACGATGTGGCGATTACACGGTATATAATGCATACTTGTGGTCAAGGAAAAACAATATAGTAAAGAATGGAATGTCATTTCTGAAATCAATATGTAAATTGGGAATAATAAGTAAAAGTAAGGCTATTCTGTTGCAGACATTTGGAAGTACTGTTTAATATTAAGAGTGGTTATTTATAATTAGGAAGCTCTGGTGTTAAGACATCTGAGTAGCCTGGCAAAGCCTCTGTTTCTAACAGCATTTCCATAACAAGAAAGGTACCAAGACGCACCAGATGACGAGCCGCCATCCATATATACCTCGTCATTAGTGTGGTGATTGCCAGTTCATCTCGTCGCTCCACCAAGTCTTCTTCTCATAGGTGAGATCTTTCGCTCTCCTACCTCTCCTCCTTCTAAACCACACCTGACTTTAAAATCCACGATTTAAGTGCATGCGACCATTTTTAGTATTTAAAAAAAATATATATGATTCACATTTTTTGGAAGTAGTTTGAGACATGTAGACACAAGTCTTTTTTGCGGATGTTGAGAAGGCTGTTGCTATAAGCATCCGCCGTTTTGTGCAGTTCATTTCGAGCTGCACTGGATATTGCGCGTTTCGTCACCTGACCAAATACAAGAATGCAAAAGAAAATGTTCTTGTCAAACATTATGAATATTACTAAAAACAATTTCCTATTATTTAAATCCGCGACCCCGACCAGGATAAGTGGTTAGACGATTGATGGGTTATTAGGTTCAATTTAGATCTTATGCAATCCAGAAAAAATACCTGAAAGCGTTAATTCAGTGGGTTTTAAAGTCCACGACCATGACCAGGATAAGGGAAGAATAAATTTAGCTGTTGCTGCAATCGATAAACATCTAGATGAAAGGGTTAAGTGGGTTTCAAAGTAAATTTAACACTAGTGCAGTTATGATCATGACATGACTTTAAAATCTTCCCAGAGTGTTGTATTCCCGGACATGTAAAATACGGCTAAATTTTAATGTATTGCACTTGTAAACAAGAGTATTGCAAATTCTGTTTTAATTGAGTATTCGAAGGGAACTATTCGTTTTATAAGACATAGAATTGGATATGAAGTGATGTGGATGATTTTGAATGGAAAGCACTTTTTAAATTTTACCTGGGATGAGATGCACTGTATAGCAAAGAATGACAAAAAGGATGAGGCCGAGATGCACATACTGTACTGCAACAAGGCAGGAGCGTAACTGGAGAGAGCAGGCATGCGAGTGTTGGAACAGCTGGTATATGCGCAGATACAAGCACCGCACTGAGTGCTAGCGCACTTGTAAAAATGTTTAGCCTATTAAAAATAGCTGAGAAATTCAATAAACGCCTGATTATTTAATCGATTGTTTGCTTTAAAACTACAGTATTAGCGTTGTATCCAGCACCATTTTATTAAATTGACCTGCATGCATTTGCAAGGGAACGTTTCTTAAGCGTGTGTAAAACATATTTGTTTATGGGCTCCTGTTAAAATATAGGCTATATGTGGATAAAAATAATTTCCCGAATTCGTTGTTTGGTATAAAAATATTTAATATCTCTAGAACTATGTATTATATATAATGTTATTACTGATAATAGAGTGGCAGTAAGTACAGAATTGCTTAGTAAAATATTTATTTTCCAGTCAAGGACTTTGGTTATATAACTTAGGGAATTTTGAGTAAATTGTTTATGTTCTACCCGGAAAGATTAAGAATTAAAATATATCATTGTTCTTGCATATGGAATCTGCGTTCAGATATTTATTTCTGGAAATTTTCAAACCCATCTTCGAAATGCAGAATATAGGATGCACTTCAATATGCTTTCAGGTTGCAGTCTTGATCAAATATGGATCACAGATCCCATATGTAGTGGAAAAACATTTAATAATTATTTTCATGTCAAATAACTGACCTTGAGTGCTCATGGAATTGTACACCTAAAATATACCCAACCTCTCCGACAGTAATATCCAATTACAATGTAACAGAATATAAGATTTGTTTTATTGCAAGCTATAAATTAAAGTTTGTGGAAAGGCTCCTCTATGCCTGTGCCAGTAAAGTTTTCCAAGATGATGTTCTGGAAGGACGGTCTGATATCATATGATCTGGTTTGGGAAGCAATGGATAGCAGTGCAGCTTAATGCCTATTTGGTTGTGGGTTTGATTCCAAACCCTAGGTGTGTGTGTGTGTGTGTGTGTGTAAAGTTCACCCTCATTCGCCGGGCTTTCCTCCTGCAATTAGATAAAGTGTGTGTCAACCAGAGTGGACCCTGCATCATGTTCTGCTTCCAAGTATAGACTGCTGACACATCATGATTCTGTGCTGAATAAGTGGTTATAGATGTATTCTTCCAGATGTTCCGTATATCTTAGAGGGAAACAAAACCTTACAGGATCATTTTTAGATGTTTCTTACTGTCAGTTAAAATTTTGAAATGTGGCAAATTAAATTTTTGTTTTCTTTCTCCATGGTGATTAATGTCTGTTATTGTTATGATGGTTGTTTCTGTGTCTCTTCTCCTCCTCCCCCCCCTTTTTTTTTGTATAATCACGGTACTGGGCGGGTGAGTTCGGAGTGGCCACACTGGAATTAAGTATCTTAACACTGTAACTTTAATGTAAAATAAAGTTGTCCTCCGAAGAGGGGGGGTGGTGGTGGTAGGCAGAAAAACAAAGGAGTAAACATATCCTAAGTATTTGGGAACTTAGCTTTTGAAGTAAGTAATTTAGCTGATCTAGTGTTTTTCTCAAACATAAAATTATAATTGCCTAAATAAAACAGACAATTGTTTCTCCTGCCACAGGTGAAGACACACAAGAAGCCAAGATGTCTGAGTGAGTATTATGGTATCATACTTGGTTTGGTGCTTGACGGTTAGACACTATGAAACTTAATACTTATATTACAGAGACTTATTAAGACTCATTTAATGTTACAAATAATTCCTTTCTGACTTACAGGAAAAAGATGAGCTCGAGTCGTAGGCACCATCTGAAGGTAGATTAAAGTTACTGCTGCTATTATTATTATTATTATTATTACTGTTGTTGCTGCTGCTGCTGCTGTTGTTGTTGCTGCTGCTGCTGTTGTTGTTGTTGTTGCTGGTGTTGCTTTTGTTGTTGCTGCTGCTGCTGATGCGGGTGTTGCTGCTGCTGCTGTTGTTGTTGATGTTGGTGTTTTTGCTGTCATTATTGCTGATTCCATAAATATGTCCTGCAGAGCCTGATGCTCTCAATTGTTCGCCATCTCATTTGATGCAGTTAATAATTTAGCCAATCAAGTCAGGTCATTTAATATATTTACGATGTCTGGCAAATATAATCTTAGGGCTGCATACAGATTTTATGCTTCCATGTCTTTTTATTGACATGTAACGTTGTTCTTGGCCTGCAGAGCTTGATGATCTCGATTGCTAAGAATTTGCTGGATGCTGAGAAAACACAGACTGAAGCAGACAGGGTCAAATATATGGATGATAACTGCCCCGCACTCTCCATGCCTGGATCTGTGCAAGACCTGCAGGTATAATATCAGGCATTGACATCAGGTCAACAGGATACATATTTTAATGCAATAGCACATCATTAGTATATCCTTGTTAGGTAAGAATTCATACTTCCACCCATGAAGACAATTATAATAAACATCTCACAATTTAAGTAAAATATATGATGTTTATAACATATATGAAATTTATAAAATTCTTAACACCTTTTCCAGGAGCTGTGCAAAAAGCTCCACCAGCAGATTGATAAGATTGATGAAGAGAGATACGACCTGGAAACTAAAGCAAACAAAGGGAGTAAAGAGGTGAATTGCAAGTCTCACTACTCTTGTAACCAACAGTGCTTCTGTGGAGATGGCTTTTCAATATTCATTGATATCTGCCAAATTACCCAGATTGAAGACCTGAGGATTAAAATTCAGGACCTGAAGGGCAAGTTCAAGAAGCCGGCTCTGAGGAAGGTGCGCATGTC